AGAAATTACAAGATTAAAAAGCGAAATAAAATACGGAATTTAGATGTGCATGGTAAGGAAGTGAACCCAATTCCAAATGTGTTGTAAAGCATTATACTATAGACCTGATTTTGTTGCGACATTAATACAAGTGTGAAAACATCTGCATATACACTCAGCTATTCCCGTATCAACAAGCATTCTGAGAGTATTGCATTAGCAATACTAGTCCCCTACCGGCAAGTGCATGTAATCTGGTTCCCGTTAAGAATTGAAAATGCCATAATTCTGTCAAAAATTAATGAAGCGGGACGAAATGCGAACTTGATCTATAACTAATCAAGGTAAAGCCACATACCAAAAATCAGCTCCATATCTACAAGCGTTTAGAAGAAAATTGCGGAAAACCCGTAAAAATTGAAAAGGCCGTAATTCCGTCAAAAATCAATGAAGCGGAAGGAAATTCAAACTTGATCTGTAACTCATCAAAATACACTCACATACCAAAAATCAGCTCAATATCTGCAAGCATTTAGGAAAAAAGTGCGGAAAACCAAGTGGGACAGACTGACAGACAGACAGAGGGACAGACAGACAGACAGACGGACGGACAGACAGACAGACGGACGGACAGACTCAGAGGAAACCTATAGTCCCCTCCGGTTTCACCGGTAGGGGACTAATAACATAACTAGATGGATCGAGTAGACGGTCACAATAGGGGAGATATCTAATATGCTTAGAGCTATGTTTTTTTTTTTTTTTTTTTTTTTTTACATTAATGTGAAGTATGACCAGTCAGATGAATTGGCCAGTGATTCTAGAAAAGACGATGACAAGTTAACATTAGCTCTCTTAAACCCTCAGCTTAAAAGGTCTAAATATCAACAATGAATCTGGACATGAAACATCAAAGAGATTATGCTAATAAATTGACCAAATATTTAAGATAAACAAGTCCATCTATTTATTAAGATTCTGCTGTTTACAACTGCTGAACTTTATAACATTTAGGTAATTCCCATGGCTATAAACGTCGATCATTTGTCAAATTTATCGCACAGCACAATAATGCTGTAAAATAACACGTTACCGATCAGATTTTGTGGGTTTGTTTGGCATTATTAAAAGGGTTCAAGAAAATAAGTGCAAAAATTAAATAAGTTTAAGTGTTTACAATTAGATATTAATGATTGCTTACTTCATTAAAAATGAGCAAAACACTTCTATAGCTAATTTCTTGGTCATTTTATAAAAGCTTAAATAGAAGTGAAGCACCATAACTATATGTTCTCTCAAAATAATGTATTCTTAATCTGTGTTAGTTGTGAACAAACAATGCACACACTTGCATAAAAAATCCCCACAAAGTTATCAAGTCATTCTCGTTATTGTTTCAGCAACCCAAGATTTATGGTACACTGATAGGGCGCTAGGTTAAGTTTGGAGAAAATTCAGTAATAAAAAAAAGTAGTCTGGGTCATATTACGGGGAGGAGCTATTTCAAATCAATTAAAATTTTTTCTTCTGCGTACCATGTGTTTTTTTTTATAACAGAGCTAGCCCACGTAGGTTGCTGACATATCTATTTATGTGACTCCACTCCAGATTGAATCACAAGCATGTCGCTTCGCTAACAGATTACCTTGCCAAAAAAAAAAAAAAAAATCACTGTTTGGATGCGGACAAGGATATAATTTATATTCCAATTCCATATTGAAATAGGAATATTTTTAAAAACATAGTTGTATTAGTAAGAAACGTCTTTCTCGTCAAAAAGCATTTCAACTGGCTTCTTCCCGTTGAATCCTTGTGGGGTTTGTTATGAGTCCATAAAAAATGCATATCACTGAAACCTGTGAACGATGTGGAATTTAAATTCCGCTCAATAGCGCGTTAGAAATACGTGTGCGTTATGATTCAATGATAGTCCAAAAAATTTACAATTCAAAGCTTACATTTATTTAAAGATGTTTATTCAACTACATGTAATTATATTGAATGCTTTTTAAATACTGATTTAATTCCTGGTAGTTTGATTACATGTCGTTCTTTGAATATACAGATTATGCCTTTTTAAATGATGCTGGTACATGTCCTTAGAAAAAAAATTAGTATATACATAAAACAATGTTTTACAGTTGATGAGGGGCAAAAGAACCCTGAAGTTCCTTTTTCGAAGAATTGAAAATATTGTACTCACCGTACAAAAGTTTATCAAAACATTCGAAGTCAAGTTCAGCGAGGAAGGGACTAATAGGAGGAGGGTTGAAGAAACAATATACATGTATAGACAATTCCTCAAATACGTCAGAGATGTCTACGGTACGTACTGCAGTGTTCAGTGATTCTCTGACGGAAAAAAAGAAGAGTTCGAATTTATCCGCTGTTGTTAGGTATTCCGAATAAACAATGCACCTAAAAATTATGTACTTTTTGTTTATCATATTAAAGTAAAAATGTTAATTTAAAGGTATAATTTTTTTCAGCTGGAAGACGGGGTGACAAGGTCAGTCTGGAAAACATTCTAGCTTTCGTAACAGGAGCAAGAGAAATACCTGTGTTGGGATATGCTATACAGCCAACAATATTGTGTTCCAGCTGGAAGAGGGGCGGTTTCCAACCGCGACAACATGTATAAATAGACTATTGCTTCCTTCGGAAGTTAACTTTGAAATGTACGATTTGGCATTTGTTAACACCCATTTTGGGTTAAACTACGAATCGAAAACATCTTACTTAGGTCAGATTTATCAGCGACCCGCACAAGTATCCCACACTGAAAAAACGTAAAATCTTGACAGATTTAATTCATACAACACTATCACACGAAAGAAATGCTTACCCACCTTTTTCTTAAAATAATAAAGTCATCAACTGATATCTTGAGTGATAAACTTATTGAACGTATTTCCGCTGGCATACTATATAATAGTCCAAACTATTTTAAAACTCTAATTATACCTTTGTCAAAAAAGAATCAATTGATGCAGATTACCAGATTTTACTGCCACCAAGATAATCCTTGTGATATAGAAATCTGGTAATATCATAAGAGAAATTTAATGTCAATGTTATAATAGCTTTCCGTACTATATATATGTTATTGATAAACAGACGTATAAATATTTTATTTAACGTTTTGTTTCTTTGATTATGTAACAATCAGATAATAATTTGAGGTGATCCGTCTCTTACCAGTTAAACATGTACTTTTCTGCTGTAGATATCTAATTAAATCTGTCAGGTGTTTTAAGTCGATGTTTTAATTTCACTCAGCCTCTTCTCCAACAAAATAAAATCAAGGCAAAAGCTGTCCCCTCAGTTGACATTTTGAGGTAATTGGTTTTTATCATTCCTTAATTATATTCAATTTTCATTTCTCGTTTCTCTCTTCGTGTTTTACACATACTCTACATATGCATGTCAGACTGGTTTTAATTAAAATATCGCGTGTTTACCCTTTTGTCGACCAAGCAACAAAAATTGACCCTACGCTAAGGTTTATATTCCTCTTTTCATTGGAATTTTTATTTTATGCCCCCATAATCAAAGAATTCGGGGTATATAGTTTTTGGTCTGACTGTCCGCAAAAACTATAACCATATTTATAACTTTGGTTGGGGTTAAGGCTTTCATGTTTCACATGTGTATTCCTTGTGACAAGGACTTTTTTACGTACCAATAATTTTAACGTCTTGACCTTGGAGTTTGACGTACATAAAAAAAATTAAAATTGGTGTTGATCTACCATACAGGGGCATTAGTGTTTCACAAACACTTCGTATTTCATGTCATATCTGTTTTCATCGGGTTGATTTTATTTTAGATAGGTCATTCAGTCAGCCTTGTGATGATGAGTGATTTATAGTAATGATAAATTTTAATGATAAAACGTTGCATGTATCTTTTTAAAAAATCCTACCTATCTTTCTGTTGTTAAATGACTGTGTCGAAAAAGGAGAAACAGACTTTTTTTAAAAATTATATTACAGATTTTGGTCGAAAAATTGCGCCAAAGGGCCCAAATGACAATGTGGTTGTAAACTCTGCATAATATCATCTTCAACCTCTCATCGAATACATTGTGTGTTTCATCTGTAATATTTTTTTCAAGTTGAAACAATGACCCAGATGTTATAAAGGGATGTTATAAAGGAGCAATGATTGGGATTAAGAAAAACTAAAATATGAAGCATGAGGAAAACGTGTTAATGTTCAACTATGTCAGGGTTCTGAACGTTTATTGTGTTAGATTTTTCAGAGAATTATCTTTAAAAAAATTAATGTATTTCTTTAAAAAAAAATGCCAGGGTGCAAAATACTTCCCTGGGACAGACCCTTTTTTTAAGTACAAAAATAACTAATTAGCTTAAACAATTTAAGACCTTATCCTCAAAACATATAGTTCCTTTTTACCTATGAAGAATCTTTTTCGTATAACTATATGGTCTTTATTTCCGAATTATTGTATGCTGTACAAAATGACTGCAATTTGTTCTTTTAATATTTCCGAATTATTTTTTTATTTGTGGTGAAATTTTAAAATAAATTTTTTAATACTTTCCTAAATATATTCAAGTTCAGGTTTTTGTGTTCGTTCATGATTGTAATGGTAAGCGACATTATATACTATCACAATGTATTTTTTTCCCAATGCCAATTGCATGTATACAATAATCGTCAATAGTATAAAAAAAATTTGTAGAAATGAACTGCTAAAGAGTCCTGTGTTTCTCTAGGTCTATATCATGATGAAAAGAATTCTGTGTTGGAGTATATTCTGACATTCCCGAATTTTTATCAATACACCTTGGAAGAACACGGTGGTTAACATTTTTCTATTCCTATCCTTTTTTTCTTCTCTGTACAACATGGGTCTAAAGAGGTGTTGTGCCCTAAGGGCCTCTGGTTTGAACAGCGAACAAAATATGAATAAATAAAAATTTTCTCAATTGAGCATGCTGTTTTATTATTATTATCAGTTTTTATTTTGCATCCCACGGAAATTTTAAAAAAAAAAAAAAAAGAAAAAAACAAACACCAGGAAAAAGTTGAAAATAGGATTAATTCATATTATTTGCAACCAGTTCAAAATATTGCTCAAGTGCTTCTTGCCAGGAAGTTGCATCACTCCACCCTTTTCGTCCAAACAAAGCATTAGAATAATTGTCAAATTCCAAAGATCCACTTCTAGTTGGAACCTTGCACTGCAGTTTGCTGAAGTTAATATCTTCTTCAGAAACGGGGTGAATGCAATCAGAGAATCCTGTAAATATCAACATACATGTATTTAAATTGCACCTAGTTTTGAAAAGGTAAAGAATTGGGACGGTTTGATATTTAATTAACAAGCACATACCCTATCCGCTTTCACTGTGTTTTAGAATTTCAACTGCATTTTTTTTTAAATTTTCATTGTGAATGTCGAGGGAAGTGACTTGATAGCATTTTTTTTACCTAATTTATGTGCATTTCTTTCACATTAAAGGCAGGGAAAAGCCCTCTTTTAGAAGAGGTTATTTTATGCATGAACTTCAAGCATTAAGTGTAGTACCCTTTTCCTCTGGCAGTATATAAAGTACATTTGGACGACCATGTGGACAAGCAGAGTGTCTGTTGTATGCTATTGGGTGATTGTTCCATTGTTCTTTTACCGCATCCAGGACGTTTTGTAGAACTGGCATAAAGCAAAATCGCAATGAATACCTGGAAACATAATTATGTAGAGCATTTACTATATAAACTCTTCTCAACATTATTATTCCGTATATGTTTAAGTCAATGAGCATAAAGAATATTATTTGCCAATTCTTACACATCATTTATCACATCTTTACGAAAGAAACCATCAGTCTCCAATTCCTTGAAAAAAGATATCCACCATTCCATTTCATGCCGGCGCATCATGCTCCACCATGCCTCAATTCTCTGTGAAAATAATGTACGTGAATTTCTTGGATATTCGATTTACTTCTGTTTGACAGTTACTTCGGATTGCTCTATTGAGACTTCGGATTTAGTTCTTTTTTTCCTTATTTTTTTTGTATATCCCACGATATTAGACAGACAATTTCCACAGGAGAAATCCATCAAAATCCTTTCTTATAAAACACACATGTACATAAGACAGGTCACTCGAAGGAGATAAAATTCTACCAGGATGCACAGTCTAAGTAATTCTAGATTGTCTTCTATCTCGACAGACTGTAGTACTACATCAAATTCCATATGGTGTGCATGGTGCTTACATCATAGGTATCCAGGTTGAATTTTTCTTTTTTTTTTTTTTTTTTTTGGTATGAAATGGACGAGTGGTTTAATGTGATATAGACTGTGTGAATTTTGTTTCTGACAATGGACATAAAGAAATGATCAAAGCTTTACAATGACGTACAACATAGTTGACCAATCACGCACCTGATTGAAAACTGATCTGGTAACTCGATAACAGTCTCTTGCCGTGGACTGATCTTGTTCTGGATTTCGATACAAACACTGAAGAGCACCCATGGTTATGTTTTCTGTTCCCGGGTCACTTTGTAGTATTCTTGGGCATCCTATTATACATGTTATATAATAATGAATTTTCATACAGAATATATGCATGATTGCAAGTACAGAAACTGAATAGAAAGTTTGTAATATTATTTGATACCTCTCAAAGCCGCTACAGTTTGGACAAAATTGCAGGCCACTATCTCTGGATCATTGTTAGAAGGCCCTACTTCAAGCCACATAATTCGTCGTGAAAACCTAGGTATTTGTAATTGGAAAAGATGATTACAGCACTGGCGAGTTTCAGACATCGCTATCAAAGAACACTTCCACAAGGTATACCTCCACCTTCACTATCATTTTAATAACGTATCATCTTGAAAAACAACCATATAACTCTCATACAAGAGGCCAATGGGCCACAATGCTTACCTGAACCACTATGGCCCTGCTATTTTTTCACCAGCAGATTTTTTCCCATATTACACTACCTGAGGATGATTCTATATAAATATGACTGACCTGGGCTTCGCTGTTTCTTGAGAAAAACTTTTAAAGGTGTTTCCTTTATACTTTATGTAAACATTTGATCGCCCATTGTGGCCCCACCTTATTCCTGGGGGTCATGATTTGAACAAATTTAAATCTACACTATCTTAAAATGCTTTCATATAATATGACTAGTCATGGCTTTGCTGTTTATGAGAAAATTATTTTCAGTGATTTCCCCCTATAGTTCTATGTAGACATTTTCATCGCACATTCTTGCCCCATGCTACCCACAGGGGAGCATGATTTAAACAAACTGGGATCTATACTCACTACCTGCGGGTGTTTACATATAAAATGACTTACAATGGCGTTCCTGTTCTTGACTAGAAGAATTTTAAATGTTTTGTTTCCTATATACTCCTATGTAAACATCTGATGGCCCATGGGGGGCCCTATCCTACCCCGTGAGTCACAATTTGAACAAACTTGAGTCTACACTAAGTCAGGAAATTTCAATGTAAGTTTCATATTTTCTGGTTCAGTTACTCTTGAGAAGATTTTTGTAAGGTGCCATGAAATTTAAACTAAGTCCTTATTATCCTTTTATTTGAACAAACTTGAATTCTCTTCACCAAAGGATTCTGGTGGGAAGTTAGCTTGAAATTGGCCCACTGGTATATAATGAAATCTATTACTGAAGTATATTTTAAGGTCAGGAAGAGAAATGAAGTGCCTGCTGTGCACAGGTCCTTGACAAAAGTCATTGAACAAGTTAATTAAATCAAAATTTGACTTACCCATCTATGCATCCATGAATAGGAAATCCAAACGGTTTTAATTTGTCATATCTGTAAGTGTGCAAATAATTGATTTTAAACAAAAGATATTCTTGATTTCTTGAGCATTTCTTCATTTAAAACTCATTCTATTTATAAACTGAAAAAGTGACATTACAATGGTTGTGAGCTTTCTTTGAATGAAATATGTGGAGATAACAAACAGTATTCGAGCTCAATATATTTAAATTAGAATGAAGGGATGACAGAAAATGAAAGGTCAAGGAATCCCTTAGTTGAGAGAAATAACATATAGGGGTGGGGGTTGGGGGATGGAATGGGCGATGATCATTTTGCAAAAGTTGACTGGAGTTGAGGGCAACATTGATTATGTTAGTCTCCAAGGGATGAAAAATTTTCCCCGACGCGGAAGGAGATTTGGAATTTAATCTTTTCGATATTAATCAGTTTTACATGACCTGACATATCATCTTACCCATCAACATGCAATATATAATTTGGACCCTGTGAATAATATATTTTTCGTTTGATGCGACGGCGTCTTCGAAAATCAACACCGAGTGGGTCAATTCGTCTCATAATTTCCATTACTTTATCTCTGAAATAAGATAAAATTTTAAAGTGGACTTGATTGCATAAAAATATTTAACTATGCATAATGTGGCAACTGTTAAAGGCATTATAGAAAACTTAAGGGGACGACTAGTTGATTCTGAAAGGGCCCGGTGGCAATTCTTTTTCGAGTCAGATTATTTACATGTATTTTCATGCCAAACCGAAACTCTAGCCGAGGACATATCGCCAGTCTAGGACAGAAAATTTATTTTCAACATTTTGGAGGAAAAATATTTATTTCCACAATCTGCAAGCCCCTCCCCTTAATAAAAAAAAAATGGGGGTTCACTAAATGATGAACGTTTGTACACCGTTTTACATCAATGCCAACTTTAAATGACTAAAACATAGTTATTTATAAGTTCTATAATACAATCATACAATAAAGTCAGAAAAGACGTCATAACTCGAGTCTAAATGATTCTTCTTGTATTGATGTTTAAGAGGGAAGCTAGAAAACAAGTTTAAACTTTTTGAAGTAAAGTTTTGCTTCTTGACTAATTGACTAAAATATAAATGCTATAAAATCATTATGACTTTACAAAAAAATAATGTACCTGCGAACTGGTATATTTAGATGTCTGAGCTTGTCTGTCATATGTCTATAGCCAACTGTCGGTGGCGAAGATTGTAGCATGTCCTGTAAATTGAAATGCAAGTAGATATAATCAATGTGATATTCAAACTATATTTTTAAAAAATTAAATTATATATATATATATATATATATATATATATATATATATATATATATATATATATATATATATATATATATATATATATATATATATATATATATATAATTCATTTTTTTATTCTAACATTAAAAAATACATGGTACATTTCTTTTGAAAATTGTTCCATTGCTTTACTTTTTCTGTGCTTAAGGAATAACTGTCTTATTTTTTGGATTCATGATGTGATCAATCGAGTGGCTTGGGCAATAATTTGCAAAAAGCGCCCAAGGCGTTTATGCATAAAATTATCACGCAAGCCAATCGATTGATCATCGTCATGAATCCAAAAAATCTGACAGTTATTCCTTATATTTACATGCTCCTGATTCTGCAAATTCCCGTGCTATTAGCCCCGCTTCTGTCTCTATTTGTCCCGCCCCGCACGTGATTTTTTTTTAACCGCGCCTATCGATGAACCAGTAGATTTATGTAGAAATAAAGTATTTTTACAATTCGTAATTTTATCTCGGACAAAGACATTGGAAATGTAAATATAATTTCTTATACTTCAATTTTCAGTCTGATCAAACAAAGTAAATGAATTCATGGATATAAAAAAAGGATAGTATGATCATAAAATTATTTGACTCAAATACAAATGCAAAACATATCTATAATGACATACTGTCTGAATTGCTGACAAAAAAGGAAATACAAACTCCACGTACTGATATCGTGGAGCTTTGTCATGTGATGATGCCGATGTTCTAAAATATATGTGAAATGTCCAAAAATCGGGGTGTCATTTGCAACTGCAATAGATGTATTCAAAACAAAATTCACTTCTTCTTAAAAACTTTTACAATTTATTAGTTATTTCAGGTACTGTAATTCATATCCGGAAACTAACTACGTTTTGTTTCTATATCTTATGCATGCCCATCTTGTGGAGCAGTTCATGCAACAACTTTTTATAAAATCATAAATTAATGAATATTCGATGAAAAAGAAAACAAATTAAAACTTAATAACAACCATTAAGACAAAGTATAAAGCGAATTTCAAAAACCTTTATTCATGACTTCTATGTTTGTTATCAATAAAGAATTATTTCATCGAGGCAATGAAAAAAGAAATAACGCCTCAATTCCTAACACAACTACAAAAAGATGGGCCGCTCCTACGATAATAGATGGGAGACAATCCATGAAAACTGCATGTATCGTAAAAAGTATGGGATATTGCCATTAAAGTTGCATAATGAGTCAAAACGATGTTTTTCTTTTAAGAAAATTGTATCACAAAACAAAAGATTTCTGTGAAATATGAATATAGCGAAGTTTTGACAACTCAACTCCACTGTAAAGCAAGAAAAAAAACTGCAAAATATAAGTGCCGGAAAAACAAATGTTGTATCTATCGCTTTGTTTTTATCGTCAATGTCAACAAGGTCACGCGTCCTTTATTTTTAGCGTGAAACTTGTAAACAACATTGAATTCGGGCAAGCAGAAGTACACTGTAAGGAATAAGTTATGATCATCTTTTTTGAAGATTGTATCAAAATTCTCAGTCATCCGACATTTATATCTATGGAATATTGAAACCATGGTAAATTCTTCAACTTTTCAGCGCATGCGTACAATAAAGAGGAAGACATGAAGCAATATTTTTGTGATGGGTTATACCAAGATTTTTTTTACTCTTATTTTTCTCCATTAAATTAGATTTTTTAGGTTCTGAAACCTGTAATTTTCTGAAACCTAATATTTTCAAGAACTGAACAAAATTTGCATGTGTCACGCAAAAATTCTACTGTTGTCAATTTTCCCGTTTGTCCGTCACACTGTCACTTTAAATAAAATATATCGTATGATATTAATCCAATATTTTAGGTAAATGTATCATAAAAAAAATTCTTAATAATTTATGGGAACATTATACATGTAAATGAAAAATACCTTTATTTTACGTTCCAGTTTTGCATCACTGTACCCTGTTGATCCTCGCCTTGGTGGATAATCACACCGTAGCAAACGCTTCCCCACCGCGTTAGAGCTTTGAACATAATGCATAATGACATTAGTAAAACGAATAAATCATTAAAGAAAATGTTTAAGCATACATTATTGTACATGGAGATTCTTAAAATATTATTATTCATATGTACGAATCGAATTTATGCAGGTATGTGTACACATTTAAGGCAAATTCTGCAATTTTTTTTTTTTTTTTTTTTTTTTTTTTTTTGTTATTTTGGGTTTGGTGTGTAGATCTAAATTACACATATCTGTTATGTAGCCATATTTCACGAAGCGCAGACATGTATGCTACATATATATACGTGCAAGTCATGCGATTTACATATATATTCATGCTGATGTCTCTTCTTAATTTCTATGCTTGAGTATGTACACCCTCATTCCATTCAATGGGTGATTTTGTTTAAATTATGTTTGTTTATCATGTTTATTATTACTGTTATTTATTTATTTATTTTTGGCAAGCATTGTTGTCATTGTGTATTCATATACATGCATCATTATAGACTTGTTAATGTTGAACCTTTAAGTGTCTTTGAAATATTTTGTAGGTTCTACAATCACTATAATTATAATTGTTGTATATATTACAGGGAAAGAATTTTCTAAGTTGTAAGAAATTGTTACCAATTCCTTTTGCATTAATTATACAATAAAATATGTTCAAATCAAAATTATATGGAGATAACAAACAATGTTCAAGCTCAAACCAATTTCAGCAACAAAAAAAATAATTACTATTATTATTATAAATAAATAACAGCAGATGTAAGTTACATAGAGAATATCATTTACCTCAAATGTATATTATGCTCCTTGATCATCACCAATGAAATTTCTTTGTGGCTCATATTTTTGGCGGCGTATTCTAGTAACAAACTATCTGCATACGTGAAAAAAAAAAGAAACACGATACAAATATTTAATCATTTGCTGAAATTTTTTTTGTATAATATTGTACTAAGTTTAGTCTCACGAACATTAATGCAAATGCATTAAAATCATTGGTAACTTCACAATTTTTGTAAAAGGATTATTTTTACTTACTTGTATCGGTCATTATTTCTTCATACAATGCGGTGCACTTTTGACGTAAACAGAATCTAGCTCCAGACTAATTAAGTGTGAAATTCACTTCCTTTGCTATATTATCGAAGAACTGATAGAACATTATCTCTTTCAAGTCACCTGTTTTATTTCATATCCCACGAAAGAATTTTAATGTTTTTCGCAGGTGAACTTTGTCAGTGTAAGAATTGTACATGTACATATTGCATTACTAGTTGAGTTGTAACTTGTCAACAAAAATTGACAAAAGCGCTGTACAAAATGACAATATTTCTATTCAAAAGTGGCGGCCGCTGTCGGCCATCGTAATTTTGCGCCTTTGTTGACTTTAAACAGGCATTTGATACTGTATGGCGGAATGGGCTTTGGACCAAGTTACATTTTCATGGTATAAATGGTAAATGTTTTCAATATATTCAAAATATGTACAAAGGTGTTAAATCTATGGTGAAAATAAATGGCATGTCCACAGAATTTTTTAGTTGTAATGTACGAGTAAGACAGGGAGAAAATCTTTCACCTTTTTAGCTCACCTGAGCCGAAGGCTCAAGTGAGCTTTTCTGATCGAAATTTGTCCGTTGTCTGTCGTCGTTGTCGTCGTTGTCGTCGGCGGCGTTATTGTTGTCGTTGTAAACTTTTCACAATTTCAACTTCTTCTCCAAAACTACTGGCCAATTTCAACCAAACTTGGCACAGAGTATCCGTGGGTGAAGGCGATTCAAGTTTGTTCAAATGAGGGGCCACGCCCTTTTCAAGGGGAGATAATAAAGAATTACTGAAAAATTAATAGCATCTTAAAAATCTTCTTCTCAAGAACCAGAGGGCCAGGAAAGATAAAATTCATGTGGAAGCATCCTCAGGTACTGTAGATTCAAATTTGTCCAAATCATGACCCCCGGGGGTAGGGCGGGGCCACAATGGAGGATCAAAGTTTTACATAGTAATATATAGGAAAAATCTTTAAAAATCTTCTTCTCAAGAACAGCAAAAGCCAGTTTGAGTCATATTTGTATGGAAGCATCTTCAAATAGTGCAAATTCAAGTTTGTTCAAATCATGACCCCCGGGTGTAGGGCGGGGCCACAATGGAGGATCAAAGTTTTACATAGAAATATATGGGAAAAACCTTCAAAAATCTTCTTCTCAAGAACAGAAAAGCCATGATGAGTCATATTTATATGGAAGCATCCTCAGGTAGTGCAAGTTCAATTTTATTCAAATCATGACCCCTGGGGGTAGGGCGGGGCCACAATGGAGGATCAAAGTTTTACATAGAAAATATATAGGAAAAACTTTTAAAAGTCTTCTTCTCAAGAACAGCAAAGCCATGATAAGTCATATTTATATGGAAGCATCCTCAGGTAGTGTAGATTCTATTTTTGACCCCCGGGAGTAGGGCGGGGCCACAATGGAGGATCAAAGTTTTACATAGAAATATATAGGAAAAACCTTTAAAAATCTTCTTCTCAAGAACAGAAAAACCATGATGAGTCATATTTATATGGAAGCATCCTCAGGTAGTGTAGATTCTATTTTGTTCAAATCATGACCCCGGGGATAGAGTGGGGCCACAATGGAGGATCAAAGTCTTAAATAGAAATATATAGGAAAATATCTTCTGAAGAACTGCAAAGCCATGATTAGTCATTTTGAAATGGAAGCATCCTCAGGTATTGTAGATTCAAGTTTGTTCAAATCATGACCCCTAGGATAGGGAGGAGCCACAATGCGGGATCAAAAATTTTGCATAAGAACATATAGAAAAACTATTTCTTCTCAAGAAAAGAAAAGCTATGTTTAGTCATATTGATATGGAGGCATCCTCAGGTAGTGTAGATTCAAGTTTGTTCAAATCATGACCCCTGGGATAGGGAGGAGCCACAATGGGGGATCAAATTTTTACAAAGGAATATATGGGAAATTTTTTTTTTTAAATCTTCTCAAGTACAACAAAGCCATTTGTTATATTGACAAGCCCCCCCCCCCTCCCGGTAATCTTTTCAATACTGAACTGATTTGTGCTTTTGCTAAGCCAATGTGCTCAGGTGAGCGATGTGGCCCATGGGCCTCTTGTTTATTTTCAATGTATATTAATGATCTTGAAGATTTTTTACTAAACAAGAATATTGCAGGCTTATACAAAGTATTTCAAGAACCATTGAGAACGAATTACTAATGTATTATGAATTGTTGATTCTCTTTTATGCGGATGACACTGTTATTATGGCTGAATCAGCCGATGAATTACAACATGCAATCAATAAATTTCAGACATATTGTTTACAATGGAAGTTGAAAGTGAATGTCGAAAAAACGAAGATTCTAGTATTTTCAAAGGGTCCTATGTTAAAAAGAAAACTTAGTTATTGAAAATACTAGAGAGTTTAAATAGGCGTTGTTTTTTCACGCACAGGTTCCTTTTGTAAAACAAAAAACACTTATATGAACAAGCACAAAAAGCGATGTATGGCATTATAAGAAAAATTAGACAATTCCAACTACCAGTGGACTGTCAATTTGACCTTTTTGATAGAGTTGTAGTTCCGGTCTTACTACCGGTATATGGCTCTGAAATATGGGGCTATGAAAACCTTGATATTATTGAGCGTTTGCACTTGAAGTTTATAAAGTATGTATTTAATTTGAAAAGTTCCACGCCATCGTACATCGTCTATGGTGAAACAGGTCGTTTTCCTCTGTATATTTCGGTATATTGTAGAATGATTTCATACTGGGCAAAGCTTTTTTCAGGCCCGCCAAATAAATTGTAAATGTTTTATACAAACATATGTTTAAACTGTACTGTGATGGAAAATTAACAAACCCATGGTTAGATTGTAAACAGAAAATATGTAATATGTGTGATTTGTCAAATGTATGGTACGAACAGGGTGTCAATATGAATTATAAATGGATAACTGCTACTGTAAAACAAATATTACAAGAACAATTATTCAAAAGTGGTCTTGTGACGTAAATAATTCTTCAAAAGGACAGATTTACAGAATTTTGTATGGTATGGTATACCACTGTGTGATGGAATCTGTACATTTTGTAATAATAATCAAACTGCTGATGAATTTCATTATATCTTAGAATGTAAAACTTTAGCTAATGTAAGAAAAAATTACCTGGGCAATTATTATTCCCACAGACCTAATGTTATTAAATTCATGGAACTAAAGTCAACCAAAAACGAAAAATGCTGAAAAAACTATGTATGTTTATTTTAAAAATTTATGATGTTCTCCTTGATATATTTTCCCCTCTCTTATTTATTTATTTTCTTTTTCAATCATTTGTCATGTTTTTTTGTTTTGTATATGTACCTCTGACCAGATTGTATATAATGTATATAATTATGTTATTAATGAACCCCATGTACCAATATTTTGGTTTGGGTGAATAAATTGAACTTGAACTTGCACTGTCTTATGCCTTCAAAATAGCATAAACATTCATGATAAAAAAAAAACAAAGAAAGATAATATAGAAGGGAAATTTTAAAATATGAATTTGGATCTATTATAAATTTGGAAAGGTTTTGAGGACTGTTTATCGGATAAAAGAAATAATAAACAAAAATGTAAGCAAAACATATGTGTGTGGGTCTTTCCGGAATTGATAATACGAATTCACTGTAAAGTTAACACTATATATATATTATTATAACAGTAACTTATAACAGTCCGAAGAGTCGTATCACGTCGAGTTGACAGTCGCGGATCATCAGATCAAACGAGACGCGAAGCGTCGAGTTTGATCTGATGATCCGCGCCTGTCAAAGAGACGTGATACGGCTCTTCGGATCAAGTTACTGTTATAATAATAAATTTATTATATACCCCTTACAACTAACAAGATATAGTTTTAAAAACTTCTGAGATCAATTATTTAATATTTTTCCATTAAACAAAGCATTCTGTCAAGGGACTTTTTGATGCGCAAGAAAAATAACGTCATGTTTCTGTGTACTAAGTCATCAATTTCAGAGAGGGCTGATATGGATTCAGAAAACCATAGTGTGGTGATCCGGAAAGTCGGATCACACCGTCACGTGATTGTACAAAATCTACAGTAAAATTGAGTGATACACTGTTGGGTATATAATAAATGGAGAGAATGTTCTTGTTTGTCACAATCAGGAATTTGATCTAGTTCACGTTCATCCTGGTGAAGTTATTTATTTTGTTAATGCCATTAGGGCGGAATGACTTCAATCTGTGCATCCAGAACTTTTCCTTGCTTTGTCTCTGAGCGTCTGTCCATCTTGGATTATGGTCAATAACCACTACTGTCATGTCCTCCCATTTGTGACCTTCGGGGTGGAAAGGTTCGTCGATTTTCTTGATCTTGATGGTCGAGCGGTGATTATTGATTTTTCTGCGGAGATCTCCTGTTTCACCCACATACTGCTTTTGACAAACTTTGCAGCTGATGAGATATTATTCTCTTTAGAGAAGTGGACAGGCTTTCGCCTACATCCACTTCTCTTCGCAAGCTTCATGTTTTGATTCTGGAAAACGTAAATCTCGAAGCGGTGACGGTCTACACTTCAACTGATATTTTACTAAAATACGTCTGAATGTACGTAATAGACGTGTTATATTAACAATTTTAACATAAATACACACAATTATCACAAGAAAACTGACCTTTAGGTATTGTTAATCCATTTTCACAAGTTCTCCATCCCGGATTTAAACTAATGTTTATCTACCACAGCTTATTAGAAAAAATTGAAAATTTTAAGTCGGATAATTTGGAAAAATTGGTGAAGACGTATTTTAATGTTCAAAAAAAGTTTTTGACAATTCACTTTTGATTTAGCATATTATTCAAAATTAATATTATTACCTATACTTATTTTTACTATTTAAATACAATCTAGATGTAAATTTGAGCTTAAAAAATACTTCATTACTTCCTCACTGACAATACTAAAAAATATTTTCTTTTATTTTTAAACGATATTAACTCTACCTCTCCCGAGAACTGAAAAAAAGATTTAGAATAAAGATCAAAAGAATTTGAACAAAACTTGAGGAAATACTGTCTCGTTAATTTAAACAGAGTAGACGATTTCTCTTGTTTCATTATTATTTTGTAAAAATAGTTTCCATTTTTATCCGAATTAGAGATTTTTGAATACTTCAAGAGTTACTTGCACATAATTTAAATCCGGGATGGAGAACTTGTGAAATTGGATTAACAATACTTAAAGGTCAGTTTTCTTGTGACAATTGTGTGTATTTATGTTAAAATTGTTAATATAACACGTCTATTACGTACATTCAGACGTATTTTAGACGAAATGTCAGTTGAAGTGTAGACCGTCACCGCTTCGAGATTTACACGTTTTCCAGAATCAAAACATGAAGGCTTGCGAAGAGAAGTGGATGTAGGCGAAAGCTTGTCCACTTCTCTAAAGAGAATAATGAGATATACGCAGTTATCTGTTTGACAGGACAAGTTCCCTAATATTCTGTAGCTGCGGCCTGATACCGGGCTGTTAAAACTGTCTGTGTCAGAGCTGTGCTTACAGAGAAGACATTTTCTGTCAGAACAAGTTTTAAAACCCCCGTTGGGTAATGGGTTGTCTAATCTGGTTCTTACTACCATATCCTTCAAGTTCCTTGGGCGCCTATAGGCCGCCAATGGAGGTTTCTTAAAGACCTCAGCCGTTCTTTTGTTTGAGTAAAGAATTGGGAGGTTCTTTTTAAGAACATCGTTGAGTTCCTTAAGGACAGGATGGTATGTGGTTACTGTTGTGTATTCACTCGAATAAATGAGATTTATAACACAGCTCCATGCGGTTACAAACTATTTATTACGGAAGTACCTGAGTAACATTTAAAACCAAAAGGTACAAGTCTACAGAATTCCGGAATACTACATTCCTCCCCCTTTAAATGTGATGGACACATAGTTCATACTTCAATGATTAATAAAAAAAAAATCAAATTTTGACTAGTAGAAGGAATATCAATATTAATGGACATCTGCATATTGACTTAATACATTCATGACTAGACTTTGACTAGACTTGTGAACAATCTAAATTCACATTTCAAGAAGAATAAAAAAAAGGTGAACATTTTTTTTTGCACTACTTGGTTACATGTAACATAAAAAATCACAAAACATAACAGTTTTTAATAATCAAACACTGCATGCATATAAAAAAAAATTGTCAGTCTATTATTACTACTGGTAACGTTTTGGCAGAACATTTCGAGTGGTGCGGGTTGGATAGCGTTTTTCGGACACGGAAGTTGCTGCGGGTGCATATGTCGGTATAGGGGTCAGTTCTGGTGATTGTTTCTTGGTAGGGTCTGATGTTTTGGCCGCCAATGTATCATCATGTATCAATGTATCTGCAGAGTTGGTGAAATCTGCAGATCTTATCTGGTCTGTACGACGCCGCCATGTTGTCCCTGGTGTAATTTCCACTTTGTACGAAAGAGGTCCTGTTTTTGAGTCTATTTTCCCTGACACCCATTTCTCATTATTGCTGCGATAGTCACGCACAGCAACCTTGTCACCGGTATTGAACTGTCGAACGGGTTCGGATGTGCGGTAATGCATGCTCTCTTGTTTAGCTTCCACTGTGTTGCGAACATTCGGCTTCAGTCGTGTGAGTCTTGTACATAGTTCACGTCCTAAGAAAAGCTTAGCCGGTGTTTCCCCTGTTGTTGAATGCGGCGAACTTCTGTATGTGAGTAGGAAGTTGGCAAGACGATTAGTGATGGAAGTTTCTTCCACTTTCGAAGCACGCATTGACTGTTTCAGCGTCTGGACTAGTCTCTCTGCTAGCCCATTTGTTCTCGGATGATACGGAGCTGACGTAGTATGACGAATTCCGTTGTACTTCATGAAGTCTTGGAAGGTTTCTGAGACAAACTGCGGTCCGTTGTCCGAGACTAGTTGATCTGGTAGACCGTTCCTTGAAAATATCCTACGCAGTACATCCACTGTGCGGTCTGCAGTTGTTGTCGACATCTGGACAACTTCGGGCCATTTTGAGAATGCATCGACTACGACGAAAAACATGTTTCCTTGGAACGGGCCGGCGAAGTCTACGTGTATCCTTTGCCATGCACGTTGGGGCCATTCCCACGGATGAACAGGTGCTTCTGGTGGCATGGGTCGGTTTTCCTGGCAATCCTTGCAGCGTTTCACCAGTGTTTCTAAGTCTTTGTCGATACCTGGCCACCATACCAAACTTCGAGCCACAGTTTTCATCTTGACAATCCCCGGGTGTCCTTCATGAAGTTCCTCTAGGACACGCGAACGAAGGTCCTGGGGAATGATAACACGAATTCCCCATAGTAAGCATCCCTGATAAATTGAGATCGAGCCACAGTTTTCATCTTGACAATCCCCGGGTGTCCTTCATGAAGTTCCTCTAGGACACGCGAACGAAGGTCCTGGGGAATGATAACACGAATTCCCCATAGTAAGCATCCCTGATAAATTGAGATCTCATTTCTGCGAGAAAAGTATGCTTTCAGTTCTTCACTTAGGTTATTTGCAGATGCTGGCCATCCTGAAGCTGTCATGTCATATACCACTTTCAGAGTGGTGTCTTTTACGGTTCCTCTCTGAACTTCTTTACTACTAACAGGTAGGCTTTCAAGTTGCTGAATCATATACAGTTCAGTTACATCATAAGCCTCTTCATTGGATCCTTCGCCTTCTGTTGGAACAGGAAGTCTTGATAAGGCATCAGCGTTGCTGTGTTTCTTTGTGTTTTTGTATTGAATATCGTATTGGAATCCTGATAGAAAAATCGCTTATCTCTGTAGTCTAGCTGCTGTAGTCACAGGTAGTCCTTTCTCGGGATGAAAAATAGATACTAGAGGTTGATGATCAGTCACTAAGGTGAACTTTCTCCCATACAAGTATGCGTGAAATTTCTTCACCCCCACACTAATCCTAGCGCTTCCTTATCAATTTGTGCATACTTCCTCTCTGTTTGACTAAGTGATCTAGATGCAAAAGCAATCGGCTTTTCAGAACCATCCGGCATCACGTGAGACAGCACAGCTCCCAGTCCATAGGGAGAAGCATCTGTTGCCAGTGTTACGGGCTTCTGGGGATCATGTTGCACGAGCACTTGGTCTGACGTCACAAGTTTCTTGATCTTCTCAAATGCTGCTCTGCATGATTTTGACCATACAAATTTGGAATTATCCTTCAGAAGGTCATATAAGGGCGCTGAGTGAGTAGACAAGTTCTCCATGAATCGTCCATAGTAGTTTACGAGTCCTAAGAAAGCTCTGAGTTCAGACACATTCTTTGGTTCTGGAGCATTTAGCACAGCTTCGATTTTCTTTGATGTTTTGTGGAGTCCTTCTGCATCTATCACATGGCCACAAAATTCAATTTTGTCTTTTAGGAACTCACTCTTGTCAACATTTGCTTTTAACCCGTAACGGTCAAGTCGCTTCAAGACTTGTTCTAAGTTTTTCAGGTCTTCTTCAGGTGTTCTCCCAGTAATGATCATATCATCCATGTTGCAGTGTACTCCCTCAAGTCCTTAAAGAACTGTGTCCATGGCTCTCTGCCATATCGCTGGTGCCGAGGCTATTCCGAACACAAGCCTGTTGTACTGAAATAGACCACGGTGAGTATTTATCGTGAGATAATGTCTGTCCTCTTCTCTCACCATCATTTGAAGATAAGCATTCTTCAAGTCCAGTTTTGTAAACTGTCGACCTCCCCCAGACTTGCAAATATGTCTTCGATCTTGGGTAGAGGATACTGGTCTATGTCCAAGACGGGATTCACTGTGACTTTGAAGTCACCGCAAATTCTCACAGTTCCATCCTTTTTTGGTATTGAAACAATGGGAGTAGCCCATTCACTGTGTTCTACCTTACTGAGAATTCCAGTCTTGATAAGACGGTCCAGTTCCTGATCAACTTTGGAGCGCAACGAATACGGTACCACACGAGCTTTGCAAAACTTGGGCGTCGCCGACTCCTCTACTTTTATTCTGGCTGATATGTCCCTTAGCCTGCCCAGGTCATCAGTGAACACGTTTTTGTACTTCTCAATTACTTCGCTTACGCCTTGTTTTCTAGTTTCTAATGTCTTGATTTCTGCCCAGTTTAGTCTGAGGTTCTTTAGCCACTCTCGACCAAATAAAGGTGGTCCCCCTTTGTCGACCACATACAAGTTTAACTGCTGTTGCTGATCATCCATCCGTTGACTGAACATACACCTAGTGGGGTGATATTTTCTCCTGAGTATGTTCTTAGGTTTATGTCGGTGTCTATCAACCTTACATTGGAAAAATTTTGCTGATAAGTTTTCCGGTTGATTACTGAAATCGCTGATCCTGTGTCCAGTTCCATGGGAAATTCTTGACCATTCACGTGGGGCTTTATCCATATTGCATCCTTTAGTCCTCCCATAGCATAGCATAGTGAAAACATTGGTTCGAAATCATCCGATACTTCCACTTCATGAACATGTTTACTCTTTGTATGTAGTGGTTTCATGGTGGCTGGTTTGGAACGGCATGCTCGTTGTATATGCCCCTTTTTCCCACACTGTCGACATGTTTCATGGATAAATTTGCAGTCATCTGAGGTATGGTTTCCGTTACATCTGTAGCACCTCTGGACTACCGTAGTTTGCTTTTGTTGAATTCTTTTCTTACCCTTGGGTACACTTAGTTTGTTGACACCGGACGTGATGGAAAGGTGTTTCCTTTGAATCTCCAGGGCGTCATTAGTCGCCGTCTCCATCGCAATGGCTATCTCGAGCGCAGTTTGGTAAGTGAGGTTTTTCTCCGAGAGAAGTTTCTTTTGAATATGTTCATTTTTCAATCCACAAACAAATCTGTCCCGTAGTGTGTCATTAAGGACGTCTTTAAATTCACAGAATTCACTCAGTTTACGAAGAGCTGCAATGTACTCACGGACGCTCTCACCCTCCTGCTGGTCCCGCTTGTGAAATCTAAACCTTTCTACTATAACCAACGGTTTTGGAGAATAGTGGTCCTTCAGTGCTTTCGTAAGTTGCTTGTACGTCCTAGCCTTGGGTAATTCAGGCGCTGTTAAGTCTCTTAACAATGCGTATGTTTTGGGGCCCACGAGGCTCAGTAGCGCGGGAACTTTTTTGTTGTCGTCCACTGCGTTTGCTGTGAAGAAATTGTCCAGCCTTTCTTCGAAGGTTGTCCATGTTTCGATTGCCGGATCGAACACATCGACTCTTCCTATACGTCCAGTGGCCATCCTCGTCGCCAGATATGTTGTGTATTCACTCGAATAAATGAGATTTATAACACAGCTCCATGCGGTTACAAACTATTTATTACGGAAGTACCTGAGTAACATTTAAAACCAAAAGGTACAAGTCTACAGAATTCCGGAATACTACAGTTACCAGTGGAACCCTGCTGCTACTGTTTTTTTTTCTTGTATTGTAAAAGGTTTTGTCTGTCGCGTCCTGCCATCTCATCAATTATAGCAGTTTGTACGGTAGAGGCTTTTAGCCTCTCTTGCATAAGTGGGGCTTTAGAAGATTGCTCTCTTCCTGGTATGAAGCAGAGGATGAACAGATGCGGCGGATTCTGGTAGCTAGACCCTTAAGCACACCGTTGAATGTGTGTAGAGGATGACAGCATGTCGGCATGAGATACAGGTGGGAATCAGTGGGTTTCGTGGGTAGACTGAACTCAATTTTGCCATCAATCAGGGTAGATGTAGTGTCCAAGAATACGTTTTTGGAATCGGATATTTCTACAGTAAATTTAATCGAATGATGGAAAGAGTTAGCAAAGGAAACTAATTCCTCGAGTCTGTTGCGGCATTCCACCCACTTCATCTCTATATCGTCAATTAAACGCAACCAGCTAAAGGGCCTAAACGGTGCCTGAAGTAAAAGTTGCGTTCAAGCCTGTCCATAAAGATGTTGGCATATGATGTGGCCATTTTAGTGCCCATAGCTGTGTCATTGACTTGCAGATAATGTTCTCCATTAAACATGAAATTGTTATACTTGAGAACATGTTCAAGGAGCTTGACGAGGGACTCGGTAGAAGGAATTTGTATAGATCTTCTGTCCCAGACTTCTTTACAGGCCTCAATACCCTCATCGTGCGGGATGTTTGTGTACAGCGATGTAACATCCATAGTCACAAGGAAGGTATGATCTGAGTTCAAGATCAGTGGAGGGCGTTTTGTTTATATAGTTTATGGTGTCCTTGAGATTGGATGGCAAGTTTTCTACATGCGGACGGAGATGTAAATCAATATACTCAGAAATTTTCTTCTTCGATAATTGGATTAATTCCGGAATTTTATACATATGTGATTTGTTTGATGACAATGGATTTTTTAGATCACTAAACCATTTTTCCAATATTATTGACAAATCTAATTGGCTAGGTAGGTACACAATTCATATATCGGCCACTAAGAGTATTCGAAAAGTTCACAAATTTTCAAATTCAAGTAATATAAATAAACAAAATGTCATGAATTTCAACTTCCCTACAGGATATTTTAACATACAGTATCTGGAAAATCAAGTAACTTTTTCTACAAGAATTTTATTGAAAAAAGTTTTATAGACCATGTTTTCAAGCAATATTATCTAAAGATTTTGGAATATATGAGGAGTCGAATGGTAGAAATATTTATGAATGTAAGATTAAATTAAAGATATGAAAGATAAACACATAGCAGAATTCAGCTACAACTTATTGAATAATGTATTATGTAACAATGCCTATGTGAGTAAGTGAAAAAAAAGATACATCATGTACACGTATGTGTCTACATTGTAACAAAATAGAAAATGTGAAACACCAAATTTTTGAATGTGAATATGGAATACTATAAGCAGCTTTTTTATCATTTAAAATTCAATGGAAACATATTGTTGTTGGTTTTTTCCATGAAAAAAATGATAAAACTAAATCTCTAAACTTACTCATTACTTATGTAGCATATAGAATATATAAACATAAAATGTTATGTAGTTTAGACTCTTTCCGTGAAACTGAATACAACATATACAATCATGTAAAAAAAATCAGTTTGCTACTATTCTTCAGTACTACGATATCTAAATGTAAACATTAAGCGTAAGATAAGATTTTTGAAAATCTTTCTAAAATAATGTAATACAAAATTATTTATTCTTATATACATTACTACTGAGAAGAGACCCGTCTTCCAGGAGTGCTTCCAGTAGTGGGGGGGGGGGAGGGGAGGGGGCAAATAGACTGTATACGTATTGTGGCTCCCTCTATTGACAGCTACTTAAAGCTATGATTCATAACTTAATTCATGATGTATACTATATTAATATATTTTAAAAAATACTTGTATTCAGGGATTTTTTTTTAACTTGAAACATCTTGCATGACGTCATAGGACAAAATTATTATTGTTTAAAAGGAGCTTAGTCAGGGCCCCATCCCTGGCAGTTGCTTTATTTTTTTTCTTGATGTTAGTATTTATATGTTGTTATAGATTAGGATCTGGGAAATAAATTGGGGAAAAAATTATGCTGGTTCTTGACTATTTTATTGTAGCTGAACAATTACGTGTACTAGATGACATTTTGTATGTACATGTATCTGATTTTTCACCTTTATCTGACTGCCATTGTAAAATCTCCCTTAAACTGCTATCATCTTTTGAAAGAGAATGTACAAGTAAGCACATGCAAGAGATGCCAAGATAATACAAATGGGACAACCTAGCTATAAAAAACTTCAAAAATGCTTTCTTCCATCCAACAGTCCAAAATGATATTAAACTTTTTCTAGATAAAACCATTGAATATAATGAACAAGTAAAATGAAGCCACTAATGACATCCATAATATATTTAATAAAGGAGCAAAACTATCTCTACAACGAAAATCACACTATAAAACTACAAGCAATAAAAAATGGTTTGATTCTGACCTTACAAAAAAGCGTAAACACGTATTTGAAAAAGCAACACTATTATCCAGATTTCCTAATAACCCCTACTTAAGAGACCCATTCTTTAAACTAAATAAGGAATATGCTAAACTACGGAAAAATAAAAAACGTAAATTTAGACAAAGTATTTTAGATAAATTAGATGAACTTAATGAAACTAATTCTAAAGAATATTGGAATCTAGTTGAATACCTGAGAGAAACTGAAGACAAAAAAGAGAAAACTTCGAAAAGTCAATAGATGAAGATACATGGTTTAAATATTCTACTACTTTATCTAAACTACCAGAAAAGTAAAAAGAAAGAATCACCACTATTGAAACTAAAATCAATGAATTATGAAACAATAAGGCTGCTATCTCTTTTGATAAACTGGATTTCAATATATCTGTACCTGAAATCCAAAAAACCATTACCATTTGAGAAAAGCCCTGGCCCAGCTATAGACAACATCTCAAATGAAATGATAAAAACATCCCAAATTTACATAAACTCCTGTATTCTGAAATTGATTAATGTTGTATTAACATCAGGAATTTATCCAGACAAATGGCTAGAGGGTTATACAACACCCATCTTCAAATCAGATAATCCTAAGTTACCTCAAAAATACATAGGAATAACAGTAAACAATAGCATAACAAAACTTTTAATATCATTTTAAATAACAGATTTTGAAATACATACAGTTAAAACTGCCATAGCGACCCACTGTATTAAGCGTCTCACTGTCATATGTGACCGTAAGAATTCCTCCCTACGCTTTTCCCTATATATTATACCTGTATTAAACGACCACCTGTCTAACGCAACCAGCGACCGTTATTTTCCTGACCATTTTTTGTAATTTCAACGCAGTTTTTCCTGGATTTAACGACTATATAATTTCCAATTCCTATACTTTCGATTTCGCTCGAGCATGCTATGTTTTTTGGTTCAAAACATCTACAGACACGCATTTATTTTATTTAATAATTATATAATGCGAGTTTTGCGAATAAAACAACATTACAAAATAAATATTTTTACTTACGTTTTGATATTTATTGAATAAACATTAAAATCTAATACATAAACATTCACGTTTTTTTCTCTCCAATGATCGAGTGCCATTTTGAAAATAGACGTTCGAGGTCGATCCCGATATCAATTCATGCTATAAGGGCCAAATGGATATTCAGCTATAAACCTGCCTGTTTAACTTTTCATTAACAAGTAATAAATCCTAGATGTTTATCTAAGTGAATTGTGTCACAAACGGGGTATGTAAACACACGCTAGCTAGCACCCATGCCAGGTGATAATTGAAGTGATTGAAGTACATGTACCTGGTGACAAACAGGCAATTACACGCGGTAGTTCAGTAATAAAAAAAAAGTTAATTAGGTTAAATAGATTTTAGTCATAAATATAATTTTTTACCAAGTGCATAAAAAAAATCATGATACAGTTTTTAATTTTTAGTAATGTGCAAAACATACGAAGTTATTAATAGGCTATCATGTAAAAAAAAAAAAAAAAAATACTAGAAAAAAATCTTTGCAGCTTTTTTATACTGTATAAAAAAATTATATATTCAGATGTTCACAGTATTTCCCTATAATCAAACTCATGTGCGGATCAAGCAAATTTTATTACTGAATTGTACCTATAATGTAAAATCATTTAGAGTTTAGAGTTTAGCAGTGCTTATTAAAAAGCGAAAATAAACAGAATATGTTATAAAATACACATACACATGTAATATTTTCAGCATTGTACATTTGAACACTGCGGAAAATAAGCAACCTGTATTAAGAGACCACCTGTCATATGTGACCTTTTTTCCTTTCTCCGTCTGATTCAATCTTTTGTGATATAATATGTAGGGAGAGGGCGAATTAAATTTTTAGAACTTGTGCCCAATCCCATTGTATATATTTATTGCAATAAAATATGTTCAAACCATTCTTCGTTGGAAGGTCTCTTAATACAGGTTTGACTGTACTTAAAAGAACTCAAACTAATACATGAAACTCAGATAGAGTTTTCAAAAGAATCCAGAACATTAGACCACTTACGTAATAAAATGTCTGATTTACAAACATATCAACACTGGCAATAAATGACTATATGCATATTTTGGAGATTTTCGCAAAGCCTTTGAAACAGTTATGAAGGCATTAGATTAAAAGTTTTACATTTAAATATTAAATATTTTTAATATACTGGACAACATGTACAGACATAGCCACAATTCTATAAAAATATTTATAACAAGTTAACTCCCCCATATAGACAAGAAATAGGAGTTAGACAGGGAGATGTGTTAAGCCCAAACATTTTTAAAAATATTTCTAAATGATTTTTCCAAATTACTTGACGAAGAAAGTATAGGACTTGTTAGTCTTTCTGGAAAGAAAATCTCTTCACTTTTATATGATGATGATGATCTTGTTTTGTTATCAGATAGCCAAAAAAGGACTGCAAAACAAACTAGATTTACTTTAGAAATACTGTAAAGACTGGTGCTTTGAAATTAATTCAAGCAAATCTAAAGTAGTGATCTTTAACAAAAGCGGTCATCTTATTAATGAAAAGTTCACACTTGAAAATTCACATATTGAATGTGTAAACAAATATAAATACTTAGGTGTGATTTTTACCTCCTGTGGCTCCTTCAAAGAAGCAAGATCTCATTTAAATAAATTTGGGGAACCCTTACATCACGAAGGTACATGTAAGAGACAAGCATTTATATGATATTTTTAAAGAGTGGGAGGTTCAAAGCTTAAAAATCAATTTTTTAAAATATCTATTGGAAGCTGAGGAAAAAAGTACACATATTGCAATAATTTCTGAATTGGGAAGATACCCTATGTATTTCTCAATGATTCAAAACATTTTATTATACTGGTATAGGTTGGAATCAAGTCCAGAATCCTCATTGTTACATAATGCATATACACAAAATATTAGTCTAGGCAATGTTAATTGTTGGTACAAAAATGTAATTTATTTCAGTAAGAAAATAAACATTTCATTATCAGAATGTAAAAAATACAAAAACAAATTTTTTTAAAAAACAAGTTCCAAAAATTTTGAAAAAAACATTTTCTACTATATTGGACAATGAAACGCGAAGAAGGACTAAACTCGGGAAAACTTCTAATTTAATGTTTAAGGAAAATTTACAATGGAAAACTATATGTATATTAAATTTCATGAAATGCAAAAATCTATATGTAGATTTAGAATAAGTGCCCATGACCTAAGAATTGAGAAGGGTAGATATGAATCTGTTAAAAATAATCTGATCAAAAAATTCCTTTAGAGAGAAACAAAAAAGAGCATGTTTATTATGTAACCAAAATTTTAAAGAAGATGACTATCACTTTCTTACTAAATGTTCATTATATAATTAGGAAAGAAATAAATTTTATCATGATATCTCATTGCTTGACCAAAAAAAAAAACAGATTATTAACAACAACAAAAAAATAATAAAATAAAATTTAAAAAAAGACAAAATTTATATGGTTAATGTCTAATGAAGACAAACTAATTATTATAAAGTTCTTGTGAAAATCTTATCAAAGCTTTCAAAAAAGGCATAATACCATAAGTAAACACATATGAAAAATTTTGAATACTTATACATACAGACTGTATGGTATTTATTTTACTTAGTTGTATGTACTGTTAACATAAAATGTTCTAGATACATATTTGTATACTGGTATATATTGTTAAGACAGGTTTATGATCGTGTCAGTTGCAATTTCAGAACCCCAACTACTGCACCTACAATTACTTATATGGATTATATCATATTATGTGTTTGTGTCTATCTGTGTATGTAACCTTTCATTCAGAACGTTCGATATTATCCTTGTAAAAATCTTGTATGCTTTCTGGGCCCAAAATTGAAAAATAAAATTTTCGTATCTATTCTATCTTATCTTAAATAAATAAATAAATTATATATATATATATATATATATATATATATATATATATATATATATATATATATATATATATATATATATATATATATATATAACTTTATCTAACTTCAATTCTTAATGACCGTGTAGTGTAGAACAGCGCCGCGAGAATTCCACCGGCATCGAAAGCAGCAAGTTTTAGGACTTGCCTTGATGGCCGAGCGGTACAACCCCGGGCTGGGGCGGAAGTGGGTACTCTAATAAAAAGTGAATTTCTTTGCGCTATATATATATATATATATATATATATATATATATATATATATATATATATATATATGGCACCTGATCCTACCTCTGATGTTTTTGGAGGTCCGTGTTTGCTCTGCTCCCGATTTGTATTGTTTTAATTGACTTTGAGCTTGAATGATGTTCGTCATCTCCATATTTCACGAAAACTTTTTTCATCAGTTAGCTATGTACATTAAAGAAGTAATATTCATCATTTTTAAAAGCTTTGTTTTACACGATAATTGTAATTACCAAACTGTGTCTGCTCCAAAGGCAAAATCCCGAGAATAAAGGTTAATTTAGTATTACTATTTTAAATCATTATGCAAAATTGTGGTTTCGTAAGTTTAGCTTGTTGTTAGTCATTTTGATAATTTTGATTCTTACTAAAAAATAAAATTAAATAAAGATTTTTATTTCAACATTTTTATAGCATATTAAATAATTCTTTTTAAATTTCAGAGTATCTTGAGTATATAAATGAGTCTTCTGCATTAAATAGTATGCTATATCACTTTTTTGAAAAGAAACGTTTCCAAAGGTCATCCGGACAACTATTTTTCAAATTCAAACAGAATTGAGTATTTTGCAAGAAAGGGTGATTTATAAGGTTCACATACATATTGTCTCTCATAATTCTAGAAATTAATGTTTGGAAATTGGTTTCATCCAATATGATGGAAAAGTCTGACTGGGTTTCAGAGTTGGATGGACGAAAGAGTTCTTCTATCATCTGAAAGTGGCAATGATTTAAAAGAGCAGGTAAATAGATAGGATCCCTTGCACAAATGTGGAACAAACCGATGCTTAACAATTCATGTTTCATTTTCATTGTCCTTCCATCAACAGAAACATCAAGATATCCATGAAGATGTCGGACATTTTCCCGGATCTCATCAGTTGTTAGTCCAAACGGTTCCGCTGCAGCCCAGGCTGGCATCTCCTTATCAAAGGTATGTGTTTTAATAAACAAGATGAACACAAGAATATTGAATAACTTTGGTTTTCCTGAAATATTCTGAAATAAAGAGCACAGTGTTTTCAGAGGGTTTAATGTGGCTTCTTTTTTGGCAAATATGTCATGATGGTTACAATATAGTAAAGTTAAAGCTGGATCACCAATTAATCCTGAATTCCGTTTTAATGCATTTTTCAGCGATTCAAAGTCAACCCTTCGGAACCAACATTTCGGATCAATGGTACAATGACCATTCTTTCTTTGCTCTTTAAAAATTAGCATCTGTTCAGCATTGGTTATCTCGTTCAAGTCAACTACTGCACGTTTATTTTGTAGAATATTTATCGAGGTATTCTTCTGCAACTCATCATATACATGATCATGAATAGCCAGCAGGATTTTCAGTTGGCCACCATCATCTTTTTCTCGATGATTTAAAAAATTAATAATTTCTGACGTGGCACTGTAGGCACATCGGTCAAAGGTTCCAAAAAAGTTATCGCAACATAAAAGAATCTTCTCATTTTCTCTCACAAAGACATCATTACTGTTGACAACCTCCTCCCTCCATTTTACAATCCAGCCTAATCCTCGGTATAGTTCATCGAAGTATTTAAGAAAACTAGTCTTCCCACATCCTATGGCACCTTTACAAATCGCTAAACCACTTTCATTTAGGATTTCCTTTACCGACGTTGTTTGTTTTCTTATGACAACCCCACTTCTAACTTCGCATGCAGGTTTTAGTTGAACACCTATTAATAAATATAATGATATTTCATTGTAATTCTTTAATTATCTTTCAAAAAGTTTCGAAAGATTATACTTTTTCTACAGCAATTGAACTCTGCCAATATTGGTATAAAAGTATCATATAAATATCCAAATACTCAAGATAGTTTTTTTTATTTGCACTTACTTGGCGATATTTTTTCTTTAGGCATTTGGCACTGGTCGACATCCTGCTTTTCATTAATGTTCACCGCAATATTTCCATATCTTTCCTGCATTCTTTCATATAAAGCATCCAAGTCATCAAATACAGTCTTTCCATCGCAATATCTATTCCACATTAGGCGTGCCCTCTCAATATCAGCTCCCAGTCCTAAGTCAGTTTCATCGGGTTCGTAGTCCCATCCCCGTTTAGGGGGATATATGTGTTCACAAACATTACGAAGAAGATTGTAAACTACTAATATATCCACTTCTTCATAATCATCAGGAGACTGTAGTCTTTGTAAGGGTTCTAGCAATACCTCGTTGAAATGTTCGTCCAGAGAACTTTTGAAAAGAATTACTTTTTCTTTCAATTCTTCGATGCCTATATAGTGCTTTAGACAAACAACAAGGTAGCGTTGAAGACCTGTAAGTTTCCATGATACGTCTTTTTCAACAATTGATACACCATCTCCTATAAGAAAAACGTTTTAAAATATGACCGGTTATATCAAAATCTAGAGGCAAAGATTATTTGCCATTTGGTATTACTTGGTATAATGGGATTTTTTTGGGTCAAAAGGACAGTGATCGTAGATCACAAACAAATAAAAATGACGAAATGGACAGAAAAAAAATGGTGCACATAGCTCAAGCCTAAAACTAAGCATAGAGATACAGGCCTGTAGGAATCGACTTAGCTGGAAGGGTGGGCACAAACAACCATTCTCCCGGTTCCTAAGGCCATGGAATAGTATATATGTTCTTCACGAAAACTCTATCAATATCGATAAAACCACATCGAACTTATAAGCAAAGAACAACTTTTTTCTCGCTAAAAATATTCGAGTACGCAAAAAGGAACAAAAGTCCCTCATGGTTTATTCAATTTTCTTCAAATGAAATTCAAGCATATTAAATAAACCAATAGGGTTCAAAGTTTAATAATTGCCAAAATATTGCTAAAGATTGAAAAAAAAACATTCATTTATCAACACGAGTTTCCTCTCTTAACAGATGTTAAACTTTTACTTTTTTCTCTCCAATAAAAGTCACATCATTTTTAAGATAAATCAAGTATAGTTACGGACATGCAGTTGACAAACACTTCGTGTTGACTCTTACCTTTACTAGTTTTTATTCCTGATAAGGGTTCTTCATATGTATCTACAATCATAAATCACAATTCATAAATGTTACATACTTCTAAACTGTACAAAGTGGAGAGTACTAATATATATATATATATATATATATATATATATATATATATATATATATATATATATATATATATATATATATATATATATATATATATATATTACAATTTATAAGCCTTTACACATACAAATTCAATCATTCAATTCAAAGCATACATGTAATTCTTGATAATTACTCATTGAAGTGCTTGATTGCAAACTATTGAGATCTTTTGCTGAAATTTTATTTTGAAAGAACAAGGTACGGTTTTGCCCTGTGTTTTTCTTAAAAATGAAAGTGATGTAAAAAAAAAATTAAAACTCATGCTTTCTGAATCATTGAAATTCCATGCAGAAAGATGATACAAATAATTTTTCTCACATGACCTTCTAAATGCTAATTGTGACGTCATAAACTTGTGCATTTTCCCGTATTTTCTTAAAATGTTGCAGAAGACACCAATTTCCAGTGGAATTTTCTTTCAGATAATATTGTCCACAGGCTTCGCCCACAAAGATTTTGAGATATGTGATTTTTCAAAGAATTTTACACAACATATCCGAAAATTAATGTGGGCGACGGATGTGGACACTAATTTCTTAAGGAAAATAGCCCTTGAAAGGGGTCAATTGAGGCTTTTTCTGTTTAAAATAGAGAAATGCATCAAATTAATGACGTCATATTTCCAGAATGGTACTCCTTCATGCCATATTCTGTCCCAATTTATCACAGTCATATACTCAACTTATATTTAAGCCTGTTTCAAAACTTTTTGAAAACATTAAATTTTTAGGGCACTATAAAGCTAAAACCGTACCTTCTTCTTACAATGTAAACTCAGAATGCTTAACTAAAAAGCAGTGATTAATATAAAGAAAGCTTTGGAGTATGTACGAGGGGTGATCAAAAAGTCCGCGAACTATATCTCTATATTTGCAAAACCACAATTCAGATCAAAATGAAATTTGGCATACATATAGTCATACATATGTTCTATAAATAACAGATGTTACATAATGTTTGCTCCTTGTTTATGGCGTCACAATTGGAAAATCATGCCAATTTGTAGATGACTTGGGACAAAATGTAGTTGCCTCGGTCGTACTCGAGCAACGAACGGCTTTAAAGTTTAACATATATCTTGGAAATTCCTTGGTAGTAGCATATAATTATTTGTACAAGGTTTATGAGGACAAAAGACTTGCCAGAAGTTCAATCATTAATTGGATTGATTTTTTTTAGTGATGGAAGGGAGATGATTAACAATGATGTTTTTTCTGGTGCCAGTGAAAGTAAGCTGGGAAAGAGATGTGTCCTTAGTTGAGCAATGAATCAAAGATTGGAGCAATGAAATTTGTTATGAAAGATCGCTAAGTTACAGTTAGAAAAATAGTTGAATATCTCAACACTAATATAGTCATTAAATTCCTAAAATATCGTTTAATTTAGACTTTAAACATATCAGATATCATAAAAAGAAGGCGCCCATACTTTATCCACAATAGATAAACGACGCATCCAAGACAAAGGAATCGGGCTGTGATGGTCACCATGCTCATTCTGGGAAAATATACCCTTATCCACCCATCCTATTGCCAAGATTTGGCCATTTGTGACAAATGGACAATTCTTGTTATAAAAAATAACTTGCATGGTAAGTAATATAAGACTCGGAAAAATCGTTAATTTCTGCGAACAGACCGCTAAGGAGCATGTCACGTGACCACCTGGATCACGTGATTCGCGCATGAGCATAACGGTGACAGATGTGCATTAAAATCGGAGAGGACTACTTTAAAAAATGAAAGAAAAAAATTAGCAAGCTCACATACCCTATGTTTCCCCAAAACTTGACAATGCAACACATAATGAATGGCACGGTGCACTTAAAATACACAGTATAATTCAAAAAGGGGCATAACTTGCAAAAAATCCTCACATCAAAACTTCTTGCACATAAGGACATTCAAATCTTATGAAATCATTTAAGGCAAAGCACTAGTTTGAGGTGTGTGCGTGTGTTTGTGGGGAGGGGGGTGTGGAAGGGGGAAGGAGAATTTTTTGTGTACTTCTATCCAAGATTTTTTGTAGATGTGTGTTGAATAATTAAAATCTTGATCTCAACATCAATGGGGGTCTTTTAAGGTCATAAAATATTTCACATAAAATTTCATTACAAACGCTGATTCCAGTGTATTTCCTTATTACGTGACTGGAAAGTTTCTTCAATAATAGCCAAAACTCTAAGGCCAAAAATAATGGAATCTTACTATCCTGGCAATATGCACATCTACACACTGTGTTCTAAATATCTGCAAAGTTTGACGAAATTCTGTGCAGAAGTTTAAGAGGAGTTGCCCTGACCAAAAAAAAAAAACAGGACTGATGGACTGACTGACTGACGGACGGGTCAAAAACATTATACTCTCTGCAACTTGTTGCATGGGGTATAATAGTAAACAGTGAAGCCTATAATTTTATTTCTTCTATGGAAGTAGTTCAATTAGTTCGCGAACTTTTTGATCACCCCTCGTATTTCATACTGAGTGCAAAGAATTTATAACATTTTAAATTATCACACTGAAAAATTAATAGAAGAAACAAGAACGTTTATAACTAAAAGAAAAGCTCCAAGGAAGGGCAATCCACAATCAGTACTTGGTTCTAAATTACTATTATTAATGAAATGTTTTTCTAGAGTGTGAGTGAAAAATAAAACCCCCCGTTTCTATTTTTGTAGTATTGCTTCCCAATGTGAACACTTTATCTTTTATTTCGAATTCATAATTATACATTTACCTAGACATTTTTGCATCTCTTCTTAATAATAATCCTAAAAAAAGAAGATAAACCACAACCACCAATGCCTTTCTTTTCATTAAACAACTTACGTACTTAAACCATTTTGTTACCAGTCGAAATAATTAGTTAGGCTTAGGCATCTCCAAGCTTATGATATCCAGAAATGGTGCGTATAGTGTAAATAAATGGAAGTAATAACAAAACCATTCTTTGACTGAGTTAAATAAAGTCCTTTGTTGATTAATTTATGGTTTATATTAATAGTTATTAATTTATATTTTGTTATAGATATAAGAAAATTATAGATAATATAGTACCTGACAGCAGAAAATCTTTCCCTGTATTACTTGACAGCAAACATTCCTTTCCAATATCACCTTCTTCATTTTCTGCCTGTTCTTCATCTTAAAATATATCAAATACAAATTCATACATATGCATTCTGTAATTAACCAATAATGTCATTTTGGGGGAGTAAGGAAAATTGTGCATGTTATCTATTTTTTGCTTCAAGCTTCACCTTGCTGGTTTTATATACACTGTAATTGTGCTTCCCTTCGGGTCATAGATAAAAGCAAAATCATCGATCCTTCAAGTGTCTTTTTTTGTAAGAATAAATGTATAATAAGGATTAGCAAATACTAGCAGGAATTATGATAAAATCCTGTCTAGAAAAGTCTTAAATTGTTGGGAAAAAGAGGCATCAGGGCAATTTTAACGATAAATTAACGTTATTTGGTCGGACATTCATTAATCGGTTTCACGTAAACCCCTAAAAATCATGAGATTTAAACCCTTCCTTTCATAGTATAGATTTATGAATTTTTTACCAAAAGACTGTCAGACCCTATTGATAATAAATATCTTAAATTAGTACCATTGCTAAATCCATTGTTAGAATAAACTCTTTTAACAAAAATATTGAAGAGATACATGTATTGTAATTTGTGTAATTACCTCTTTTTAAGGCACTTTCTTCTCTCTGAGCATGTAATCGACCAAATCTATCTAAAATGATTTAATCTACATTACTTGTTATTTACCTTCAGATAAGAAGTACATCTTTTTTTTTTTTACCAAAAATATGTGTTTTTAAACCTTACAATTTACAAAATATTTATATGTTACTCATGTATTTTTTTTTAAATCAAGTAACTATTTCTAATTAAAGTATTTAGGAAGTAGTGTTTTTTCAAGCAAAAGATTGTGCATAGAATATACTGTAGAAATAAAAAGACAAAAATACTGCGATTGACTATCTACCTATTAAACGTTTTCTTATAGCCTTCCTCAGACCCCACTTGTTCCTCTTATCCAGAATGTAAAGCGTTACTAGGGAGACAACTAAAACCAGCAGAAACACTATGATGATTCCAGCAACCAGTCCAGAATCCCCATCTTGTGTATCACCGGTACTGTCATTTGATGAATAAGATGACATGTGCGGTTAAGTAAAGAACTTTTATATCAAAATCCAAAGTTAGTTTTAGTGAAGTTCAGTGTACCTCTTGAATGATGACGATATGTACACCTTAAAAATACAGATCTTAATTTACGACCAAAGTGAGTACTTACGGATCAACGGAAGTTATATTTGAATGTTCTGTTGTAGATTCGTAAACTTTGGTTATAACACTTGATGTAGTCCTATGAAAAATAATCAAGAAAAGCTAGAAGAATTATAAAGAAAAAAAGCATGTAGCCACTGCTATAAAATGGTCATAGATTTGTTTCTATTATGAGTGTCTAGAGCACGGACAGTTCAGTCCTTACCATCAATCTTCAAAAACTATCTTAATAATGAATGAAAAATGATATATAAAACGTTCTCAATTATTATATTGTTTCTGTTTTTCAAATTTTTTACGCTTTTGTAAAATTGAACATACATGTAACTGTCTTACCAATCAAAGTAAAAACTTTAAACCTTGCAGGGGTGTGCAATTAGCATCGCCCGACGCCCGGGGCTACCATTTCTGGGGGTCGGGCTAGTGGTTTTCTGCACTGAGGTAGCCTCTTGGGCTAGTAAAAATTAAAACTATGCATGTAATACATGAAAAGCACAACCCGTATTTTCACCCATTTTTCGCTATTAAATTCCCAACCAGTGAAAATTTTCCAGGCATGACCTAAGTACCCGTACTTTTCAACAATTAGTCTTTTTTTTCAATAAGCCCCTATTGGTTTTAAATTTTTGCCCCTATATTTGGGCTAGTAACTTTTTACTTTGGGCTAGTAATTTTTTTTAATTGCACACCCCTGCCTTGCTATATAAATATATATTTGTCCCGTCAAACATGGTAAGATCAAGGTAGAATTCATTAAAATTTGAACAATAAATTCAATGTTCTAAAAGATATATATTTACTTCAAAAAACTAAAACATATTTTTTGCCTTTCTAACTTAGTGGTGTAATGACATTTATTTGGTATGCGGATTAAATTAAATGCTTTTGTGCAGAAATGCATGAAGAAGTTCAACAGGTTTACGTGAGTAAGTATGTGGGAAAATCAAGCTGTAGGGAAAGAAGAATACAAACAATCAAAATTCCAGGAATAAAAAAACACTACTATTCAAAGAAAAAAATCATATCCAATCAAAAACATTATCGGAAATCCTTGATATATGTATGATTTGCAAAATTTACCTTTTATTTCCATAAAAATCTTCGAAACAAACTGGCCCTATAATAGAGAACAGACAATAAATATTACGCAACAGAAATCTCCTACAATAAATAGTTTATTTGCAAGTATTGGAAGCCATAATACTCACAATTATAAAGTTCTCCTGGGTTGTAGGGCTTGTCTGGGCACCCCACCGGTGCCACACACGGAACCGAGTCCAAGTTATACGTCTGTGCATTGAGAACTGCACAAGTCCCTGATAAAAGATCGAAGGATTGTTGATTACAAACATATGAGGACTTCATCACTCAGGAGAAGCAAGAGAGAGAAAGAGAGGTGGTCATTATTCAAAATTATTTCAAAATTTATTAAATGGATAATAATGGTTTAATATTTTGTCTTTTCTCTCTTCGCCACTTATGAAAAAATGGAGAAGTATCATGTATTTATGCTCATGTCGGTTATCAACAATGTACATTTATTAAGATAGACACAGTTTAAGCAAATGAGTTAAAGCAACAAAACTTGGACGCGATTTCTTAATATTGTAATAGACAATGTTTATGCAAACAATTCCGATCTTCCATGAATTTTCGAATGAATGAAACAGTAAAATTATTTCAATCATGACGTTAACTATATCCTTGGGCAGGAAAAAAAAATAAATTTAAGCTTTTGTGCCAATAAGCATATTTTTTTTCATCCAGATTCTAAATTTTGATAACAAATAAAAATAAATATTGTTGAATTAAGCACACTGGCTCGTCACGAACTTTTTCTATTTACTTCTTACTTATAATTATCCTTACACCGTGTATACAGATGTATATTTTGAAGTGTAAAGGTGATGAAAAAAGTAAGTCGAGTAAACTACAAGTGTCGAGTTCTGTAGTTTCAGCATAGGTAACAATAGATTATTTTTGCATTACATAGACGTTATCAGATCATGTTATCATTTGCTATATACTTCATATTTCAAAAAAAAAAAAATCCAATGTTTGATTATCTGCAAAAATTTTGCTATGACAAAAATGCTATTCTACAACAAAAAATGACAGATTTTGATTGCACACATCGTCGGATACCCACGGGTGATCTGATCCTCTTTTACTTATCATCTTTTATCTTTCATGATAATTAAAAGACGAGATCACCCGTGGGTATTCGACGATGGATTGCACACACAGTGACTAATATTTAAGGCATGTGACGTATTACAAATACAGGTAAGAACTGCGAACGATAGTATTGTTCTCCCGCCTACTTCGAAGTCAATATTAATTTTCAAAAAGTTAGCACATTTGATTGTTAACTGGAATTAGGAGTATTTAATTATTTAACACTGGTATTAAATTTATCAGTCAATTACCATTGAACCGTTCTTTGCACTCAAAAAAGATTTTACGGCCAAATTGCCATTAGTATTGAATTAAATGGGTGTAAAATGAAGGCGGGAATCGAGAGTTAGCGTGCGTAGTTCTTTCTTTGTGTCATGAGGTTTTCCTCATATTCCAATATAGTTCAGATTTGTAATTTACCTTTGATTCTAGTAAAATAATCCTCTTAAGAAATGTATATATCATGTTATTAAAATGTTAATAGTTTTCCAAAATCGCCACAAATTTGATAAAATAGCAGTCTCAATCATATTTGTCAAGTATCTGTTATCGACTTCAATCTAAGTTGTAGTTCAACCACTTCAGTCCACACTTAAACTGCTGTCCTGTTTCAATTTTTTAAGGCTAGCGATAATATGAAATAGACGAAACTCACATTTTATTTATTCTATGACAACACATTTTTTTCATAGTATTCTTATTAGAAGTTATTTCAGTATTTGTATTTATATGAGCCATTTGGTCCTCCGTACTTTTAAGAGGTATAAATAACACATTCCAAACATGGCCACAATCCTTCATGTGTACACATATTTTAACAAATTCCGTAAAGCAAAATTTTATTTAAACAAAAGACATATTAAAAAAAACCTTACCAATTTTTTTATATCAACTAAAATTATGTAAGTAACATCCGCTTTATATATACCTGATGGGGACAAACCATATTTGGTGCAAATTTCACCGTACTGGCCAGGAGAATTTTCTATCGCTGCACACAGATAGTCGGGCGTTGGCTCCTGACATTTTTTCCGTGTGGCCTCTGCTTGCCATTCTGAAGATCCACGAGGACATGCCGAAACATACACGTAATCCTGAGCGGCTTGTGTCACCGGAACGAAGAATAAACAGATCGCCATTGTCCAAATAGTTGACATTTTTTATGTCCATGTAATTCTCGCAGCAAAAGTGAGGGGCTTGGTGTAAAATGTGGAGGATGGAAGCTCCAAAATGGAGTCACATAAGCCTTTTATGTCATTTCAGCACATTTGCTTATTTTATCTCTTATTCAGTTTAAGACTCTAAAACCTAATTAAATTTGTCAAGACCTCATGGGCTACTGTGGGATAGGAGTGCAGGACATAAATCTTACCGAAGTTAAGATGTTTCCGTTGCACTCAGCATCTGTTATCTAAAAAAATTTAAATCAAAAGCAAATTTTTGCTGTATATGTCCCTTTTGTTATTGATACATGTACCTACAGGTCAATTTTTCGGCTGAAACTCATTTTTTTTGTTCCTCAATCGTTTCTCATTCTTTGAGAAAAAATGACAACAATGCACTAAAGGATAATTTTGATGCTGTTTCTTTTCCATTCAGTCTCCGTTATCTTCAAAATCTAAATCAAAAGCAAAGCTGTTCCCCATGTTGACAATTGTTTCACTGTTTCCTGTTTCTCATTAACATACTTCATAAGATATTGTCAGATGGTCTACCCAAAATTGAGTTTCGGGGTAAAATATAGATCATTCAATCAACTTCAAAGAAATTATCTTTTCATTGTTTGGATAATGCACGACACTTTAACAAGTTCTCACGGAAAATTAGAAATTGAGATGACAGATCTACATGTAATATTAAGCAAGTGCTAAAATTGCAACAAGATTTTCCACCTTTTGCATCATCTGATTCAAGAGGCTCTCCCCTAGCACGCACTTTCTGACACTCCATTTTGGAGCCTCCATCCTCCACATTTTACACCAAGCCAAATTTAGGTCACATATCCCAGGTAATTCGAAACCGATGGCAAAAACACTTAAATCTAAAAATAAACTGAAGGAAAACCTTTTACTTACGTTGAGATTTTCATAAAAACAATTTAATAAATATACTCTGACGTAAAGTACATCAGTAAATTTAGTAAATTATATTACTGTCAATTGATATGCTGTTTCTAAATTTAACATGCAAGGAGATTTCAAACTCTATATTCTTTAAATCATAAATCGTTTCAACAGTATCATTCTATGTTATATTCTGTTATACTTAATAAGGATTTGTTACTTGAAATGCATTAGTAGTAGTATAAGTGTTTAAAATTGATTCCGATTCATGTTTGATCCTAACCTGTTAGGGTCTGTGCTCGTAATTACGAATGAAATTCCGCTAATGTATATGAAATGATCACACTATATGTCACCACAAAACCTACACATTTTGAATGTATAGTTAGTACCTTTCCAATTTCGTTTTATGTATACATCGAGTAAAAATACTGGAACCTGTAAATAAATAAAGCTCAATTTATTTAGGAAAAAAAATTCCACTAAATATAAATTAAAAATTAAAAGCTTACATTCTTCAAAATGACTCAGATTGACGGTACATATTGTCGTTTTGTACATTTTGTCGCCGACGACAATATGTACCTACCCTCACTGCACATAATTATTGTTGTCCATCAGTACATGTACATATTGTCGCCGGCGACATTATGAGCCTCACCCTCACTGTAAATATCGTCGCCCCACATATATTGTTGCTTAAAGATTTCTTTTGTTGTTTTTTGGTAGTATTGTGAATGTAATTGGTGTGTGAACCACACTGACGTGTCTCGTATATGTTATTTCATGCAGTGTGATTGTGACGGTACATTTTGTTGTCCTGTTCATATTGTCGCCGGCGACAATGTGTACCTACCCTCACTGCGCATATTGTCGTCCATCAGAACATGTCGCATGACAATGCACGGCAATGCTCCATATAAATATGTCAGAGAAACCAAAAACTTCAAAAATGGTCATATACATGTACACTTAATTTGATCGCCGAAATATGGCTGAAATATTACCGACTCGGCGTTAAACAATAATAATCAATCAATCCATATAAATATGACTAATCATTGCTTGGCTGTTTTTGAGACTGAAGGTAATTTTTGAAGAATTTTCCCATATATTCCTATGTAAAACTTTGATCGCCCATTGTGGCCCCACCCTAGGCCCGGTTTGATTTGAAGATACTTGAATCTGCGCTACCTGAGGATGCTTCCATATAAACATCACAAACCACGTGCCTATTGCTGTTCTCAGTGGTGGATCCAGAAATTTAAGAACGGAGAGAAGGGTTTGGGGGTGTTGTCGGTTCAGAATTCGTTGTGACACTCCAAAAAAATAAATAAATAAATAAAAAAAAAATAAAAAGTCATTTGTATGTAAAGGTGTGTTACTGTATATGTTAAGTAAATTATTTTATTATGAAATTTTACCTGTGGACTAAATTGAGAGTATATACAAGTTAAACAAACAGAATTTACCAAAGCAGAAAAAAATCAAACTACCGGACGGGGGGTGCGCGGGTGCTACATCTGTCTGGTTTTTGAGAAGATTTTTAAAGATTTTCTGTATATATTCCTATGTAAAACTTTGATCACCCATTGTGGCCCCACCCTACCCCTAGGGTAATGATTTGAACAAAATTGGTTTTGCTTTTGTTTGTTGTTATAATGTCCATCTCGCGAATGTTTTGTGGCAATTTTGCTTGAAATTTGTTTAAAATTGACCCAGGAGTTCTTGTATAGTGATGTACATCAATATCAATCCTGGACACAATTTTCTGACCAAAAGGTTTTCTCCCTACAGTATTGCGAGTAATGCTGTCTGTCTCTCCGTGCTTGTGTGTGTGTTTGTCAATCTCTCTTTCCTTTCTCAAAATATCTGTCAAAACAATATATCGACGACAATATATGCCGACCTTGACTGTACATATTGTCGCCGACGACAATATGTGCTGGTGCTTGACTGTACATTTTGTCGTCAATCATGAAGAAAATAAGGCTCGTCTCCGGCGACAATATGTACCGATGGACGACAATATGTGCAGTGAGTGTAGGTTCATATTCTCGCCGACGACATTATGTACCGTCACCAGATAGATAGAATTTTACAGTACAAGTTTTAAGAAGTAATTACTTTAAAGAAGTAACATGCCCTTCTAATAAAGATCGAAGGTTTTTTTATGAATGAATTTGAGTGAGCCTGTTTATTCAGCCAATCATCGCGCAACATTTTAATGTATAGAAACAAAAAATAAGGACTCTTTCTCAGAGAAGAGGGAAAAAATGAATAAAACTTTAAACTGTCTCTTTGTTCAAATGATTCAAAAAGAGGAATGCTAATTTATTTCATTTTATTTAGTTTTGGAGGATAAGAGGATAAATAATATAAATGTATGTAACTTTGACACTGAGGATTATATATATATATATATATTCTCAAGCAGACCCCACCCTCCACCCCACTCCACCGCGTCTGCCGGCAACAATTAACATTGTTCATTTCAGTTAACATTCCGCAACTTAAGTAATATTTAACCTTGGCCAAAAAGAAAGCACTCAGAAAATAAATTTTTAAGCTGGGATATTGAAGATATTTTGGAAATTTTCACTGTCCAAATTGTCCTAGCAACCATAAACTGTACTAAGAATTAAATTAAGGTAGGCATGAACTCATCTTTTATATTCTGTTTTCTATAAAATTTTACACATACATTTGTATTATCGTGATAATATTAGTATTTATATATTATATTTATACTTACACACAAAACGAAAGTACCAAGAGAGACGACAACAGGAAAACGTTAATTCCTATTTTAGATACAATTCAGTCCAAAGTCACGTAGCTGGAGATTGGGTTTGGCTGGTGTAATCAACATGGAATAACGGTTTAAAACGAGGTTTGAAATAATTTTTATACTTGATTGGCCATATTCACATCCTGTGGATGCTATCAGAACATCTAGAAACTTATTATAATTCTTTGTTTATATAATCTACTTTCGCTTTCAATTTATCAATTGTCTTTTAAAGGACTATTCCTATTAATCAATTTTAAATACTTTCTATAACAGCCAAAATAAGTAAAATAATTGTAAAAAAAAAAAAATTATTATTATTATTTAAAATAAGTACAAACAATGAATCTATCAATTTAGAAAATTTTATAATTGTAAATCAAAAACACCTAGGATCATTCCCTATCGGTTCTTAAAATTCATAAGCAAACATACTTCTTAATATGCACAAACAAAGAACCAACTCGTTCTTGAAATGTGACATTATTGATGTCATCCTCCTGTATATTTGATAGGAATTTAATACTTTGTTTTATAATTTATGCTCTACTTTCATTTCTTTTATGAATGTAATTAAAACTGTATTGAATGATTGATCATGAACCACGAAGTGTCGAGATCAAATAACACAAGTTTTATAAAATTTTAGTTGTATTATCTGACAGGAACATCCTTGCAGGATGTTGGCATTATGAGAAGATTGCAATTCATCCTGTTTCACTTTCAAAAAATAAATCTATAGATAGCATTTAACAGAAAAAAATGTTTCAAACAGAGATAAGTATAGAAATCAAAGTGAAGTTAAGGGAATTGCGACATGCTTCAATTCAGATAATACTAAACACTCTCGTTGTAGGCAACTTATCACATCGGATTCTCCGCTTAAAATACCATCTGTTTCAAATGTTGAAACCGATCACCCCCACCTTTTGATAACATACACACATACCTGTATTATATATTATATTTATGCCTATTTATGTTTCTTTCAGTTGTACGACTGGTCGTCGGTCAGAATTTATACAAAAAAAATGGCTTACTCAAAATATAGAGACTCAGGCGACGAAGATCAATTTGACTCATGGCTACAGAGAGTCAGGGAAAGCGATGCCCTTGTTGTCTATGAGCAAGATGATGAATATGAAGTGTTTAAGACTGTGCTTCAGTATTTTGATTCGCATAATTTGACGTATGCTCTACCACAGATTGAATATCCAGGAGGAAATGTTATGCCTTCCACAAGTAAAGCCATCGAAAATGCCAAGAAAGTGCTACTTATTTTATCTCAAAATAGTAACAATGCCAAATTTTCTCTGGAGACGTTTTTAGCATTGGAGAAGTGTGTGAAAACCGACCAGCTTTGTCTCACTATTCTGACGCTCCATGGATTCGAACGTAAGAATATCTCCAGTATTCCTATGTTACAGAATGCGACCATTGTAGAGCTGGACTATAATCGCCAGGAGATATGCCTGGAAGCTGTGGTCCGACACATTAAAGGTGATACATATATGTTCATGGATTATGTAGTCTGATTTACAGACTTGAAATGTATTTGTTAAAAATATTGTTCATTGATAATTACTGTAATTACTTTTAAAGCAATTATTTTTTTTTTCTTTGACTGAGAATCGACTGTTGCTTGTATGATTTTCTTTTTAAATTTGTTTGATAAAATATTTCGTTTTGTTACATTTTCAAAAGTCACAGAGTTTGGCCTTGCCTTAGAGACCAGACACACCCTCCATAGTACAAAATAGTTTATGTTTATACATGTAATTCGATTGTTATATTTCCTTCTCAGAGGATGATATGAGATTGACAAAAGTAATCCCGGCAGGAAACTTTGCAACAGGACTGGCTTGGAGTCACTTCACTGGATATCTAAAACTCATCCTTCCTGGTAAAGTTCCTAGTAGAAACTCTGATTTCAAATATTATTTATATTCTTATTTTTTTTTCTGTCCAAATCTTTTCACAAGTTTAATCTGTAAACAGGAAATTTGAAGATGATTAACGTTATAATTTGAGATACTTGATTCTTCAATCAAGCTGTACATAAATGTACTACTTTCAGAAATTCCAACTAAAATAAGAGAATCCGATGCGTACAGAGAAAACCCTGGCAGGTTTCTTGAAAAGTTCTTTATTCTCCTGCCAAGATCAGGAAGGGCCCCTAAGCTAACAGACGACACAAGAATTTCTGAGGTTGACAAACTCTCATTAAAATTAACGGTGGACGGTTCCCCTCGAACTTACACACCTGTGGTTTACCGAGTGTCGGATGATGATGGACAGGTAGGAGCAAGGAATTAACGGTTATGATCCTGGTACATTTAATTGGGAGCAATTTGTAATAAAAAGTCTTTCTTTGATATGATGTAACATGAATACTATTTTATATAAAAATAGCGGGCTAAAAAGGTAGTGGGTCCGGTACCCGTACCGGGATACCCAGTTATAAAATTTATATTTTAAAATAACAACAAAATAACCCATCCAACATCCCAACATTCCGGGCTGTGAAACAGAAATCCATGAAACCCTTGCAAGATACATGTAGATAAGAACAGCGGGTTCTCCCTTTGAAAAACGGTTTAATTGTTTTGTTTTAGTTTTTAAAATTCTATTTCATTTTTGATATTTTTTTCTTAATCTTTATACCAGAACCCCGACCCCATTTCCACCTAAGATTTTCTGAGTTATTAGATTTATTTAGCATTCAAAAAAGACTTTAGTCCTTTATTTGAAATTCCATCAGAATTTTGTTTTTCACCTTTTAATAGGTTGGAGTATTTTTCTGCTTGTCAAAAAAATGACGACTAGGATTTTTTAGAAGTCCATGTTGAACAAGCCCCCTCCTCATTACTGAATGTACAAGCACTTCATATATTAGTGTAATTAAATCAAACTAGAGGTACTGTGAGCACTGAGCTAACAAAATGATACACTACCAACCACCATAAATATCCACCACCCCCCTGCTCCCATATGAGTATAATTTATGAGTATAATTGCAAAGTCCATTTTGCTATGAGAAATTCAAATATCTGTCCGATTAGAACATAAAATAGGAGGTCACCAGTGTGCTATTTAATAAAGATTTATCGGGGTATATTTTTGTGAAACATGAAAATCTTTTACCTTCTTAATTTAATATAGAAAACGTTTTGGTATACATGTACATGTAGGAGTATCTGGAGATGAGGATATGATATACTCATATAAGAGCGGGGTATCATTTTGTGAGGTCAGTGCTCACAGTACCTCTAGTTTGAATTTAATACTCTAAATATGTAGATATATTTACTTAAAATAGTGATGTATGTTATAAATTTAGGTGAATATACTTGCAAACAATGAAATTGCCCAAAGATTGACTTTGCATTTAAAGCATTCACAAGGATATATAAGTTATAAATTGCTTAACAAGAAAAGTGATGTTATCGTGTACATGTATCTAACGTACTGTACACGTACGTCCGTTTGCAAAACCTCTCTACTTATACACTATACATTGATTGCAAATATTAAATATCAAGAAAAGATTTTAGTTTTAGGCTTAATGAATCTTATTATTTATGTTACAGCAGTACTACTGTTGTGCTGAAATTCCGAGTGCCTTTGGAACGATAGGAAAAGTGTTTGAAGAAATTCTGGGACATATTACAGCCCAACAGAGAGTAATGGAAGTAGAGAGATTTTACTATAAACTCCAGGAAATACTGAATCACCAGCTAAATGACAGGTTGATTGGCACGGTAGAAGTAATTATGTTTGATGGTAGGTTTTTGCAAAAAAATTTTTAGCTTATAACTATGAATGAAAGTGAACATAACTAACAGTAATAAAATTCAATCAAATTAAAAAATCCAATAAAATATTTCAAATTCAGATCAGAGGAAAGAGATGCGTTTGGGAAAACAAAAATTGGGAATAAGTGCAATTGAGCAGTTAGCATAATGTACAGACAGGCTACAATCCCTATGAATCTTTTCTAGAAGAAGGCCGTAGAAAAATCTGAATGAAAATTGCCTAACAATTACTGTAGATTCCTTATTTTGCGCGAGTACTTAATATCACGAAATGGCTAAAGGGAGTCAAATCGCGAGAAAAATAATTCGCGAATCGGTGATTTATCTAGAGATTTTACATACATTAAAGCACCATAAAAATAAAAGCAAGTAATTTTATTTCGCGAGTGGTGCTTCTCGCGTAATTACGCGATAATTTATTCCTCGCGTATATTTAGGAATCTACAGTATTTTAAAACATTATGCAGTCAATATTCGACTCATTAATAGGAGGTGCGTGCAAAAAGGTTATGTTCACGACCATAAATGCAAAATGTTGACTTTAAAGTGAAAAAAGTAAACCCTTGAAACATCAAATTATTTGTTCATAGTCTGACTCGATTTAGAAATTGATTTTAATGGTGTATATATCACTGAATTATTAAGTAAGGAAAGAAAGGCATGCTTACCAGATCGAGTTTGCAGGTGATCATAGTATATTGCTAAAAAAATAAGAGAAATTGATGGTAGAAAAAGTTGGAAGTCATCACTTTTACCATGAAGTTTAAGTGTTAATTTGCCATCAGTGTCTCTCTTGTAAAACATCCAGATATGAAATACGTGTGTTAGGTGCCTTGGTATCTTTAATTTCAAGTTCAGAAGACTATTATTATATCAAATGCAAATGAATATTGTTGATTCATTGCTTCGTTGATATATCTAAATGTTAAATTGAAGGACACAGTTGGAGATCTTTTTATGTAGAATTTTCTTCATCAAAATACAAACCTGTTAGACACCCCCCCCCCTCCTTTACATGTCATTTTGACTGTTTACACAAGTTCCTTTCATAATGATTCCTTACATACAAGTATAAAGGGTTTTTTTTTTTAATTTTTAAAAAAGGACACAACATATTAGTCGTGTCATTTCTCCAAGTGTGCACATTGTCATCTCTCCAAATGTGCACACAAGTGAGATTGAGAGTTCAAGCGACAAAATTTATTTCCTCTATAGTATGAACATGAATGTCCTCATTTAATAAAAGAGGGATTTTCTTCAGAGAGAAGACTTGTATGACAGTATTTCTGCTTTATCACTGTGAATTTAAAAAAAAAATTTGGATAAAAATTCAGATGTGCAATGCAAATCTTTCATTTAAGGTATTTGCAGCTTTTTAAAATTGCAAATGACTGATTCTTACAGATGAAACGAAAGATGACAGTGCCACCCCATCATATCAACTCATTAAGCGGTTTAAAGAAGGGTCATCTTATCCCGTGAGTAAAATTCTGAATATCACTCAGTTGACCCATTGCTATCAGTTTTCGTCCGTTATTGTCCGTCGTGCGTTAATATTTTCTGCTTCTTCTATGGAACGGCTGAACCAATTTCAAACAATTTTGGTAAATAGAATCTATAGGCAAAGGGAATATAGGGTTAAAAATATTGTAAATTTTATTGTCTCAATGCTTTAAAAGATAGGATAGCTCTAGGGGAGAAAGAGAAACAAGTAACTAAGGTTGTAATGCCTGGCAAGAGCCTTCATGAAACAGAACAAAGATTGACCTCAGCTGCTTGGCTGATTTTATTCATGTCTTGAGATGCAATGTCCATGACTCAGTCTGAATGTATGCCACACTGAATTTTTTTTTTCAAAAAAAAAAAAAAACATAAATGGTTGCAGATTTAATCATTCTACATTTTAATAGTTTCTTTCTATATTTTTATCAAAGTTTGGGGGACCTTTAAAAGTCGACTTTCTTACATAATTATTTGAAAACAATATACATTTTTACATAATTATTTGAAAACAATATACATTTACAATTAATGAAAATACGTATTATGATAGAGGGACTTTAGAACCTAGATTACTTTCATATGATTGGATCTATAAACTTTTAGCGTCAACCAAAGCTTGATAACAAGAAGTTCAGACATGATGTATGTCTTCTGTATTCTGAATGCGATTCCAACCATGCGTTAAAAGTGAGGATAGCTTTAGAGGAGAAAGGAAAACGAGTAACTAAGGTTGAAATGCCGGACCAGAGCCTCCATGATACAGAACAAAGATTAACCTCAGCTGCTTGGGTGGTTTTATTCATGTCTGGAGATGCAATGTCCATGACTAAGTCTGAGTGTATGCCACTCTGGATGGCAAATGTCTTAAGTTGCAGTTTGGATGACAATGAACTACGCGTTATACCAGTGTTGATAGATTCAGAACCTAATAGCATACCGGACTTCATACGCTGGGTGACATACATCAGCATAAAAGAGGAGGGGTACCAACACAGAATCCTTGACATTATAAATGGTAATATAGAAAGAATAAATTCTGGGATGACGTCACAATTAGAAAAATTATCATACATTTAAATTTAGAAGCTTTAATGTACATGACACTTACTTTGTCACATTCATTTGTAACATATGAAAAAGAAATAGTTGATCTAATCTAAGAATAGAATAGATCACTGTAATCTGCTTCTTTCGCTTGAAAATACTCAGTATTTCAAAGAAAATCCCACCAAATTTTAATCTTTTTTGTATAATGAAAAGAATAAATTTATGTTTGACATTAATACCATCGATATTTTATATATCCAAAGGAAAGTTGTCACTGTACGTAGAAATACAACTTTAAATTTTCTTACTTCTCATTTTAGGCAAACCAGTTTCAATGAAGTCACTATCACCAGTTGGAAATGTAGCATACGGTCTGGCCTGGGCGTTTTTTATGAATTATTTACAATATGCTGTTACTGGTAAGCGTGTATTTATTTTTCTTATAGCTTTCATTATATAAACAAAAAATGTTAAGTAGAAGAAAAGTAACTTTACAACATATTAAGTCTTGTCACTCACAAGACTCTTTCCTCTCTGTATCTGTCCATCACCCTGTGGTCGTAAATTTTTTAACAATTTCGGCGTTTTCCCTGGAATGGCTGAATAAGTTGTAACCAATCTGATATATAATAATTATGGTAAGTGAAGGAAACGAAAAGTGGTTGATCTCAAAAATTCTATAAACAATATAAATCTGTGAACAGGGCATAACCCCCCCCCCCCCGGAAATTCCAGAGGTGGGATCAGGTGCCTAGGTGTAGAAAGCATACTCTGTTGACTGGACACACCCATCGTGAGCCCTATGTATTGATCAGATAGACGAAGCATTCCGTAGTCAAATTCAATATAAAAACAAAGGCCTAACAATTTGTATGAAACATATCAAGCGAAATGAAACCCATGGTGGTATATATTTTCTAATAAGATCGTTATAACAAGCATATTTATAGAATTTGCGAAATGCTAACATATAACAAAGTTGTCTAAATTCCTGTTAACATTAATTTGTCGCTCAGTAGCCTGTGTTCGTTTAAAAATTTATCGTACTCGGAGCATGCTCTTGAGTATCGAATAAGTTTGGAGATGTAAACCCCATATGAGGAATATTACTAATTACGCAATACATGTATTACGTTTTTCATACTAATTGTTAGGCCATTAATTACACACTGAATTGTCTACGGATTTTTCCGTTATTTCTCGATCATGACATGAAGCACACGGCGGATGTGACGGGTCGGCAGGGGATGCTCACTCCTCCATGGCACCGGATCCCACCTCATGTTTTTGGAGGTCCGTGATCGCTGTGCTCCAGATTTGTATAATTGTTTTAATGGATTTCGAGCTTGAATGATGTTCGTTATCTCCATATTTCATAAATAAGGAAAACTGACCATGGAAAAGCTGAAACATTTCGTTTGTCAAACCAACCAGACCCAACCTGACACAAAGCAGTCCCAGAGCAGTCCCGGGGACTGCTTTCTGGGACTGCTCTGGGACTGCTAAAGCAGTCCCAGAGCAGTCCCACAGCGGTCCCAGAGCAGTCCCACAGCGGTCCTAGCAGTCCCAGCGGTCCCAGAAAGCAGTCCCAGCAGTCCCAGTGGGCGGGGTTAATTAATTTAATGGGCGGAGCTTACTCAGAAATGAGATTACCAATAAACAATGTAACTATAAAAGGCAGTTGAAATTGATGATCCATTTCTTTCTGAGCAGTATCAGTTCTCATGCGACAGTCATTTTTGAACTGTTAAGAAATTCACACTACGCGTATAGAAACAAATAATAAATACTGAACAAAGAAGACGGTCACACCTACTAATAACATGAATATTTAAACACAGTTTTGTGGTATATTAATCTTTCACCAAAAAAAAATCAATTTCTTAATTTACTGTGATTGATATCGGTTTCCATATTTATTTATTTATTTTTTATAGAAAATTAAACTTGAATTGTTTATTCTCTATCAAAACTAGCTTTAAATAGACCTTATAATTATAGAGCAAGTCCGATTTCCATACTATACTCTGAATCCAGTTTTCTTAAGTACTGGAGCTTTTGAAAAATTCTTTGAGTATTATATTTCAGTCTTGATTATTTTCACTGACTTGCCAATTTAATTATCGTTAGATTATCTATGTAACAGAAAAACAATAATACTTTTATTATGTTTGAGTGTACATCTGTAAATCACGCGAATGGAACCCTCAGATTATGTTCAAAATTAATTAATCCCGAAATAAACGAAGATTTTTTGCAGTACATAGATTGAAATTAGTGCCATTGTTGACCAGCATGTTCAGTGATGTGTAACACTGATACCCAAATAATGTAGTTGTTAGTTGGCAGTTATCGTCTATAGTTTGTAAAATATCCAAAAATGAAAAACATGGCAGACTCGGTTGGATCTTTATTTCAAGTTCACTGGGATATATCGAGTCGATATATAAATGGAAGTTACTATTGTTATGGGTTAAGGAGAACAAAAATGACGAATAATAGCCTAGTCTCTTAACCCTTTTGAGTTTAAGGGATGTGGCCAAAACCTTCAAAATTAATGCATTCTTCAAAAATATAACTTGTTTAACTACTGGACACCTAGCATCAAAATTGTTAGCATGATTTTAACAATAATTAATAAAATTCTTTACCAAAATCACTTCCCTGGGTTTCAGAGTTTGGGTTCAAGGTTAGAGCTAAGTTGGTCTTGTATGGAAAATGCATTACACTTTTTTATTAGTCCCCTACCGGTGAAACCCGAGGGGACTATAGGTTTACTGTGAGTCTGTCCGTCTGTCTGTCCCTCTGTCTGTCTGTCAGTCTGTCGCACTTGGTTTTCCGCAATTTTTTTCTAAACGCTTGCGGATATTGAGCTGATTTTTGGCATGTGACTTAACCTTGATGAGTTATAGATCAACTTTGCATTTCATTCCGCTTCATTGATTTTTGACGGAATTATGGCATTTTCAATTTTTAGCGGGAACCAGATTACACTTGCCGGTAGGGGACTAGTATTGCTAATGCAATACTCTCAGAATGCTTGTTGAAATGGACAATATCGTTGTTTTAATGATAAATCAATTTTTCACTAAAATTGTTTAATTTTTGGCCCGACGTCCATGATTCAGAGCTTACGGTGGGTTAAGTTTACCATGTTTTGAAAATACATTTTAATGAATATTACACTACATCTTTAAAAATCTTCTTTTATTTAACAACAAGCAGGTAACTTGCAGGTTTATAACAAAATTGTGAAATTAGTAGCTCTTGGGCTCATTGTTTATAACAAAATTGTGAAATTAATAGCTCCTGGGCTCATTGTTCAACCTTGGGTTGTCTTGTATTACACTGAGGACATCACAGCCAAAATACATTTCACGTTTGAAATCTTTACTCATTTACATGTAGAACATTCAGGCCGGTGAAAGAGGCTAAATGTGCCATGTATTGAAACTGCATTGCACCTTTGAAAATCTACTTTACTTGTGTACTTGAAGCAGAAAACTAATAAACACTTATAGCATACACCCACAAGAGAATTGTATTAGCAATACCAGTCCCCTACCGGCAAGTGTAATCTGGTTCCCGTTAAGAATTGAAAATGTCATAATTCCTTCAAAAATCAATGAAGCGGAACGAAATGCAAACTTGATCTATAACTCATCAAGATACACTTGCATACCAAAAATCAGCTCAATATCTGCAAGCGTTTAGGGAAAAAGTGCGGAAAACCAAGTGGGACAGACAGACAGACGGACGGACGGACGGACAGACAGACTCAGAGGAAACCTATAGTCCCCTCCGGTTTCACCGGTAGGGGACTAAAATTGTGCGTGTGTGAATTCCATTTTGGATTTAAAAATTGACGTGAAAAATTTAGATTTTTTTATGTAGACCTAAGGAAAGGTATACCTTCACTATGTTTATATGTGTTTGTATTTTGCTTATAAAGTCAGCTACTTTGTTTATATTCTTTTCCTTTATCAATGTAAGGTCAATGTTGCATAATTACCCTGGTGTGTTCTATCTTGATAGAGCATGGTTGTTAGAGCACATTTACCTGTAGTCATGGTGTATCAAAAATAAAAACACAATGGACATCAAAGGAAAACAAAGCAGCAATGATATAAATAGTTATAATTCGATAAATTTTTTTTTATAGTTTTCCAAGGAAGGCATGTGTCGCTAGCTTTGTAGCCTTATTAAAGATGTTATAAAATCTAAGAGTGGTCAGCTATTTATTTACTTTCAGTCATAGTTCATGCATTTGCCTGCAAAGTAAAAGAAAAAAAACCCATCCACGAATAGTATAAGACTGCGATAGAATCTGACAATCAAAGAAAATATGGTTTCCTAACCCTCAAATGAATATTAACTAAATTGAAATTATTACAAATATTTTTTAAATCATTTTATTTGGTTTTATCAATTCTCTAAAAGAGATTTCAGTCTGTCTTTCTACACGATCCTTTGTGGAACTTTATACCGATCCCGATGTATTTTCAAAGTATTTTAATATAGGTTTGTGAGGTAACTGAGTAGCATACATTTTCAAAGTACCATATCATGAGCTCGTAAACATGTCGCAAACAATGGTATTTATAAAAGACAAAGTGCTAAGAATATCAAATCAAATCTTACAGCTCTCGAGATAGAGGGTGTGACAGACGGACAAACAGCTAGATGGACAGACAGACAGACAGATGCCGGATAAAGTGATCCCTAAATGTCGCTCAGCTCTGCATCGCTCTGCTCTGCAAGCGACACAATCAAACTTCCACCAGAGCCCCTTTGTACTGCAAAGGACTATGGGTAGTTTGGCGACATAACAATATATAATTCAGAAACCAGACCTCAGAGCAGGGTTAAGTTGGTCATATATTAAGAATCATTATGCTGTGCCTGTGCCATATAGGTATCTTCTTTATTCCTGAACATTAAGATTTAAGGAGAAAATGCATAAAAATGACAATGATAAAAGAGTCCAAATTTTCTTGATTTTTTGGTCACATGGAACCAGATTGAGTTCTAAGGATACGCTTAAAACCTTCAATCCCAACAAATATCTTCTTTTAATTCTAAATTTATTGCAGCCTATCTATTGAAGCCTATGATTTGCATATGTTCTGTTATATCTCTTTAAATCTGTGTCTACCAGTTACATTTGAGTGTAATACGGTAGTTTATATAGTGTTTTCACACATTGTGTCAACAATCGCATTGTACATGATAAACTTTTCAGAAGGAATAATATAAAAAAAAAAATAAGGTTCAAAAGAATAAGATCATTATAATAGAAATCTCCAAAACATGAAATAATAAGAAATGTTTAATACCATTAGTATCATTTTTCAAAAAATATTTTGGAAGCAGCATTCAAAATTGTACAATAAATTAAAATGTATTTATAAATTAGAATACCTCGAAATAAAACATTTGTGCGAAAATATATTATTACATATATAATATTACACAGTAAAGGAATTCAAAGATAACTTTTCATGAATACCACTTAAAATCATTTCAACAACATAAGTTAATAGAGCATGTAAAAGTGAACATTAAAACATAATATCCTTTTCATCCTTTTCATTTCCTTTACAGCAAAACACATAAAAATAACTCGGATATGGGGAAATCACGATTACGAGGAACTTTCTATGAACCCCTTAGACAACGTTTCATTATGTTCCTTATGCGGATATAAAGAATTCTGGTTAAAAGAAAGAATAATATTTAGCATATGCTCTGTCCCCTGAAGTCCCAGTGACTTCATTAATGATTTCTAACCAAGTTTTATTGAAATCATTTGACAGAGAGGTAAAATACTTCGGATTATGACGTCATAACTTTATAAACAAAATTCCAAAACACGGACAGGTCATGAACTCACGAAGCAGAGAAATAGACACAATGGTACAAATCACGGATTATTTTGCACGAATAATAATTTCCTCGGTCCATCTCCATGAAATTATGTAATATCTAAGCGGAGCAATTGCTATTCATTACGCCTTGTTCATTGAAAAAAGTTAATTTCTTAAATAACTCAGGGGATGAATGTTTTAATGATCGGTCAATGTAACAAGAATCAATATTTTAGCCTGAGCACTGTCCTCTCTAACATTTTAAGAATTTTGTCTCCTGATACATTTTAGGAAATCTTGTATTATATTATACTGTGAGTGCCCTACATCATCCTGTGAAAAATGTATACGCACGTTCCACATATCTCTTGGTACATATCTCGTGCAATGTATTACATTCGGTGCTTGGTACATCTTTTGATCATGGAAACGTGAATTCTGTCCTCTGCTTCAATTCCTGTTGATTTTATGGTTTAACAAGGCAGTTACTATGTACTGTAGTATGTGTTGGTTTATATTACCGTATTGAAACTATATCTTTAAAAACAGATCATGTTATTGAATAAGTTTTGACGATGAATTTCAGAGATGTCTGCAAGAAAATTAATTTGAATTTATGCATTTCAGAACTGTCCACAAGATGTAGACAAAAAATGAGGGAAATTGGGGCTGATCCTAAAAAGTGTGTTGTAAAGTTGTTTGAGTTCATTCCATTATCTGGGAAAACGATTCATTCACTAGATGAGATTGAGTCTTCAAAATACGGCATAGAAAAATTCGGATCCGTCCGTAAAGTGGAATCCAGTGTTGCGGGTGTTAGAAGACAGTTTGATGTGAATATGTATGGTATATTTAAAGTAAGTTGTTTTCTAAGTTATTTGAGATTTTTATACTGATTTTATTTTTCACCTTTCTCTTTAAAATATCAATTTTCTATGTAAAAGTTATCAATGGGGTTTTCATTGTGACCTCTTTTCAGATACCTACATTCATGAGTTCAAGCTGATTACTTTTTTTGAAAATAGATTTCAGAAAGTTTGAAGTGGTAAAAGATTGTATTAAAAAAACCCTAGCATCGTATTATTTGGTATTATTTAACACGGTGTGTTAAATTTTCGTAAGGCAGGGTATTCAATTTAATTACACAATTTTGATTTTTAGATGCGTAGCGCTGTAATAAGAAAAACAAAAAAATCTACATTTATAAATTTTTACTATTTTTTACCATTCCGAAAGAGATGCTACATATTTATTTGTTTGATTTCATTTAGAAACCCAAACATCCAAATGAAACTAAAGAATTTGTAGAGTATTTCATGGGAGAATTTGCAGCTCCTTTACGAACTTTGCGCAATATGCATGAATCTTTTATTGCTGGATTGAATAACCAGCAATTCACCAAACAAATTGAACAGTTTGAGAAGGAGCTTATAACTATATTGCGAGATGTTCCATGTAAAGAAAACAATCTAGAAGATGTTAGGGACTGTTGTGTACCAATCATATATGAAGGTGAATATATACGTTATGTGCAGTAAAGAAATGTTCTTTTCAGATAATTTTTTATAACATGTATATGATTTAAAAAATAAGTCAGTTTTTTATGTATTTTTGACTTTATATTGAATTCCTCTAAACCCGTTATTTTATAACTGTATGCTAGATCTCTCAATTGTTTTTCGTTGTCAATTTTTCTTTATATACCATGAGTTCGAAGTTCGAGGAATGAACGTTTTTGTCCGTCATTCAAATGCTTGTCTCAAGATTATTTCAAGATAATTATGAAGATCAAGACTTCCTGTCTTCATTCTTTCAACTTGTAGAAAGAATGAACTTTAACCTTCCTGAATTCTTAACATAATTTTCAGATACTTTATTAGCGTATTAAATTAATACAGAGTTTTAGGTGTAAATGTAAAAGCATTTTCGTCAAATTTTTAAATCACCCATTTTTCTAAAGATAAATCGAATTTAAATGGATCAGGATCGTTTGGAATCCAATATGGCCACATAGTTCACTATGACATCATCAAGCATCGACTAAAGGTTTGATGGCGCGATAACGATGGTGCGATAGCGTGATGACAATGATGCGAACATTACTTCATCGTCATCGCTCCATCGACATCGTGCCATGCCTTGCTATTCCACCATCGCTTCATCGTACCATCTCATCATCGTCATCGCATTGTCGTGCCATTGCATCATCGTCATCGCACTATTGCACCATCGATTCATCGTCTACGCATTATCGTGTCATTGCACTATAGATCCAAACCTCGATGGCGTGATGATGCGATAGTGAACATTAAAGTCCTATCCGGATATCATAGGATCGGTATTCTGAACATTTCTATAAAAGTGTACAGCTCCACTTATATTTAAAACTCGGTTCCAAATGGGCTTCCGTAGACAGTCGGCTACACATTTTTGTTAAATTCTTTGTTGTGAAGATTTATTTCTTTAAGCCATGACTTTTGGAATGAAAATGAAGCTGATTAGAATAAGGCGCCATTGTTTTTATATTGGATTATTTGAGTAAAGGATAATTTTTATAATTTTTTTTTAGAACACTTAAGTTGAAAGGCTTATCTGAGCTTTTCTGATCATCCGGCATCCATCCGTCTTTCTGCTTGTCCGTCCCTCGGTAAACTTTTCACATTATCGACCTCTTCTCAATGACCACTTCATGATCAGAAATTTTGACCAAAGTTGTCACAAAAAATCCTTGGTTAAAGGAATTTCTCAATTCTTCAAATGAAGGGCCAAGCTCCCTTTCAATTTAAGGTATTCAAAAAAAGATTAAATAACATCTTCTCAAAAAAAAAGTGTCAGAAAATATGAAACTTATATGAAAGCTTCCTTAGGTAATGTAAATTCTAAATTATTAAAATCATGGTCCCTTAGTTTGGGTAGGGTAGGACTGGAATAGGGGATCAAGGATTTACATTGAAATGTATAGAAAAAAAAAATTAAAATACTTTCTTCGTGAATCAGTGGATTAGAAAAGACGAATCTGACCTTGAAGCATCCTAATATTGTATATATTCTTAATTGTTCAGATCTTGGCCCTCGGGGGTAGCATGAGACTACAATAGGAGATTAAGGACAGATGATAAAAACAAACTTTCATTAAAAAATAATGAAAATAGCAACTGAAGTAATGTTTATAGAAGTAAAGTAAATACTTTTAACCGCATAGAATTAATTTTTTTCATTCAAAGTATCACAATAATGTGACAAAAAGGTGCATAGATTTATAAAGATGCTAGGAGAGAGATAGAATTTTGAACATCATAGAAAGTTTATATTTTCTTTAGAAATTGAAATATTCGCATCATTTACAACAAAAATAGATCAAAAATATAAACTACTCCAGACATCCATTTTTTTTTTTTTGTTTGAATCATCTGTCCTTAGAGTTTATCGTAGGTATACAGTTTTATACGGAGAAAAATGTTTAGAAACCTTCTTATATGAAAAAGATGAAACTTGTGTGAAAGCATTTTGGGGTCGTTCAGATTTTAAGTTCTTCAAATGTTGGACCCCAGAGATAAGCAGGGACAGGAACATTGGATCGAAGTTTCACAGTAAAATACATAGTAAAATCATTCAAAGTCTTCCTTCGAACCACAAGACCAGAAAAGATGAAACTTATGTGAAAGCTTCCTGACATAAGTTTGAATCATGGCGCCGAGGGTTAGGGTGGGGACACAGTGCAGATTAAAGTCTTACGTCGGAATATCTAGTGTTTTTTTTAATTTCTCATGAAGCACTGGACGACGATAAAAGATGAATTTCTACAAATATTGACCCCCAAGGGTAGGATGGGGCAAGAATAGGAAATGAAAGTTTTACATTGATATACATCTTAAAATCTTGAAAAATCCTTTTCAAATACCCTTATGATCCACTAGACCTGAAAAGATAAAACTTATTTGAAAGCTTCCATGTACATGTATAATGTCAATTTTGAATTGTTCAAATCATCGCCCCAATGAGTAGGATGCATATGGTTTCATAGTTTGGATCAAAGTCTTGCATTGAAATATATACGTTAAATTTTTAAAAACTTCTCACGAAACACTTGACCAGAAAAGATAAAACTTGAGTAAAAATATTCTGAGATTCTGTAGATTCTAAATGCATTCAATCGTGGCCCCAGGGGATAGGATGTGGCAAAAAAGGGAAACAAACCTTTACATTGAGATATGCAGAAAAAATTCTTCCTCTTTTTTAGAACCACTGGATTAGAAAATATGAAACGTATGAAATTTTCCTGTCATGATTAATATGTATTCTAAACTGTTTAAATCCTGACGCCTTGGTAGGGTGGGGGCAACAATAGGGGACAATGTTTTACATCAGAATAAATTAAGGGAAAATTTCCCAAAATCTTGAAGTTGAGACATAATTGAAAGCGTTCTTATAATTATAAATTTGCTTCTTAAAACTGAAATAATCTTTGTCCGCCAATTTTAGTCTTCTCAAGACAGTCTTTCTCCACCCGCTATATAAGCCACAGCTTTGTTCAGAATTCAATCTATTTCGCTTCACGGAGTTAATTTGAACACACGTGTCGTTCATGCACAAGCATTCATTTAAAAAAAATAAGGAAATAGATTTTAGGACATTGGAATTACCAAAGCATTATTGTAAAAAAAAAGTGGCAATCAATCGGAGTAAAGATCTTCGGTTCAAAAAAAAATCCCAATACCTTTCAAAGGTGAAGCTAAAATATAGATACAACGATGACCACATTTGAATGCCAGTAGGATTTAAATGTGTATCATGTGAATCTCATGAACATTTTTAGACCTGCTTCAATTATCATATGAAGCTTAAGGTTGATAAGTCATTAAATTAGCACTAACAATCTTAACAAAGTTAAATATTTATGTATGTTGAACAGTTTCTATGAAAGCTCAACATTCTTATTCCTGTCTGTAATTTTCAACAAAAACAATCTTTTTTTTTTCAGATGATAAAACAGATTTCATTGACAATTTAATGGACGTAATAGAAAAAATCCGACAGGGTTCCAGCGTTGGAAGTAAATTAGCCAAAGCCATGAGAACCAGAGAACCATGAATCTTCATAGAATTGGAAAAATGATATGTTTCTGACTAAATATTTTATCGTGTTACTTGATTTTGCCTTTATACCTCTGTGGCAATTTTACTCTCTAAAGAAGAAGACAACTGATCAATATGGTTATTTTAGCAACTACAAACTATACCGATAATGCGTCCATAAAGGAATAGAAAGTCTAATTTGATCTTTCTTTCCATAAAGAAAAAAAATTTCATTTACATGTACAGCGACATATTTTTTGTTATATGAATTTTCAAACATCATTGGATTATTTTCACTGTTAAAAATATTTTGTGACTAAATGTTTTATTACTTTCCAGAACCTTAAGAGATACAGCGATCTGCTGGGTTTTTTTTTTATAATTGTCACATACCTGACGCATTGAAAATATATTTTACCTGACAACTGCTTATTTTAAATAAATTGGAGATGAAATATTTGTGAAAAGTGTAGACTACATTTTAAGCCTTTTATAATTACACTTTTTAAATAATAGTCTCACCCGTAAAATTATATCTTTATAATCATGTAATTAGTTGGATAATTTCAATACACTAATAAAAATACAAATTATAAGGAAGGAATAAAATGTGAAGAATTCAAAGAGAGATCTGGCTCAAAATATCATTCAAACTATACAAATTGTGAGCAGTGCTAATGCAGAAGTGGGATCAGGTGTCATCGAGGAACAGGCTTAAATTTCTTTTTTCCTCAACTTTTCTTCGTAATATCAGGTAACCTTTTAGATATACGCTTGAAGCATTATACTCAGTTTAATTTGAAATCATCCCAATCAATTTGCAAATCTTCCAGAGTTACTTGTATAGTCATAAACTCTTTCAGTAAACAGACACAAAGAGGGGAACCTCTTTGTATACTAAAAATATCCCTAAAATCGACCCCTAACAGTCTTCTTTAAGTATATAATATTAATGATCTCGTTACAAAAAAACACAAAATTAATGCACACTCTAGGGATGCTCGATTTGATCGGTATACCGGTATATCGCGATTTTTTATTGCGTGATACGTATCGTGATACGGAGACTAAAATACCGGTATTTGGTACATAAGTTCATTTATTTGTTCAAACTATTGAATGACAATTACAGGAAGTGTAAAAAAAATGTTAAAAACAGTTAAACAACAGCATCCAAACATGCTTAATATTAAATAAATAAAAAATTAAAAAGTAAAGTTATGTCTTTATGGCATATTTTAAAGAAATATTATGGAAATTCATTTGAAACTGTAGAAAAATTGTGTGTAAAAATATCACGATTTATCGTGATATTTTTGGGAAAAATCATGATATATCACGATATATCACGGCAATTTTTGCCAATACCCATCCCTAGCACACCCCTAAATAAACTGCAACTATCAATTCTTATTGTATAATGAACTTGTCATTGCTTGTGTGCTCTCTGAACTAAAAGCAAAATTACCCTCTCTCATCAAACGCCTTCAAAAACGCGAAATCCTAAAGTAAAGTGATTACTTTCATGCATTTCACTTTTCAAGTCACCGGTTCTAGAAGTTGCATAGATAAACTCTATCATTCTCTCGATATCACCATTTCGTTTTTACTCGTACATTTACTAGTTAGGTACCAGAAGGATTATAACCTCTGACAGCAGCGATGCTTGTGGAAGGTTGGGCATATATATATATATATATATATATATATATATATATATATATATATATATATATATATATATATATATATTTCACATTAAGCCTATGCTACTTACGATCTCATATGTCAAGAGACAAGATCGGCCAATTTTTGTCGATACAAAACTATTGATATGATTGGATAGGATTTACAAAAGACTGACTTTAAATGAGGTTTATAAAATCCTTGTAACATCAACTTATTCATCAGTAGCCTTCCTCGGATAAAAATCGTACTCGGAGTATGCCCTTGACTTTTGAATAAGTTGGAACACCATGTGCAGGTGAGTGGAATATTTCTACATAAATAAAGATGACGAAGGAAAAGCTGATTATCTCACTAGCTATAAAGTTCATCTTTTAGTTGTATCTTTTCGTCAAAATTCAATAAAAGATCCAATTATGAAACGTATGTGATGTCTTTTATTGTGCTTTCTTGTGGTCTTCAACTCGACATTTAGATATATCGACGACATATTATCAATTAACAATATTTCCAGTTACTTCCATTCATATGTCGATATATCTCAGTGAGCTTGAAAAAAAGATACCACGGAGTCTAACACATCTGTTTCATATTTGGATATTTTTCTATAAAAAGACGTTAATGGTAACCTAACAACCAAGCTTTATGATAAACGTGATGACTTTAACTTTTCAATCGTCAACTTCCCTTACATATGCAGCAATATACCCTTATCACCTGCATATGGGGTGTATATCTCTCAGTTGATTCGATACTCAAGAGCATGCTCTACGTATGCATAATTTCTAAAACGAGGTAAATTATTGACAAGTTCATGAATCAAGAATATCAACAGTCTTCTTTAAAGTCATCAATTCGGAAGTTTTATGGTCGATAAAATGACCTTGTCAGCACATACAATCTATCATTAAGTCATTTGCTGACTGGCGTTTTTCATACTAATTGTTAGGCCATTATTTACACAATTGTCGACGGATTTTTCTCTAATTTCCCGATCATGACAAGGAGCACACGGCGGGTGTGACACGTTTCAATCGTCAATGTCCCTTGCTTATGTAGCAATATACCATTATCACCTGCAAATGGGGTTTACATGTATGTCTCTCAGTTGATTCGATACGCATAAGCATGCTCTACACATGTATGTATGAACAATTTCTAAAACGGGTCAATCTACCTATGAGTGAAAAAATTCTCGAGAAGGACGTTAAACAACAAATAAAACGGGGCAAGCTATTGACAAACAAGTTGATGAAACATGGATATCAACAGTCTCGTTTGAAGTCATCATTTTGCAAGTTTTTGGTCGATACAATGGCCTTGTCAGCAAATACAACCTATCATTGACTCAATTGCTGACTGACCTTTTTTTCATGCTAATTGTTAGACCGTTATTTACACACTGAATTGTGTACGCCCCCCCCCCCCCTGTTTTTCCCGATCATGACAAGGAACACAAGGCGCTTGTGACCGGCCGGCAGGAGATGCTCACTCCTCCATGGCACCTGATCCCACCTCTGATGATTTTGAAGGTCCGTGTTTGCTCTGCTCCCGATATTATTGCTTAAATTGACTTTGAGCTTGAACATTGTTTGTTATCGCCATATTTCATGTAGACGTTTTTAAATAAATTTTGCTTCATGTCAATACAAAACTTTTGTTGGCCTGTAATGGTGCACCACGAGTGCGTATCAAAACTCCAACGAATTGTTGAAATACCGACCTGGTCTCCAACGACTACATATATTTGTCAATGAGGAATTCCAGCATCGTATTAATATCAATTTCAGAGTATTTATGTGTAGAATCAAAGTGAGTTTTTTAAAAAGTAATTTTGTAGATGACCAATTACAGATGTGAAAAAAAATTCTAGTTCCATTTTTATTGAAGCAGTTGTCTATCATACCAAAAGCCCAGTCTTTATTTATCGTGAGGAATGGTTGTATAAAATGTAGAATGGTTATACGTTTTGATGTTACTGACTTTTGGAAATTCTAAAAGTTCTTTGTAGTTTTTGAGAAACCACATTTTACACCACACCTCAAATATGCTGTAGCAAAGTACGTCTGTTTTTCCTTTATCACATCTGTTAAAGTTTTTTGTGGGGAGTAAGATAGAGGCTAGGCAATATATCTCTTTGTTTGTAAGGAATATTATGAAGTTAAAGAATGAAGTATTGGTAGGGTAGGTCGAATTCACTTTTGTTGACTGGAATGTTAACAAAACAAAAGCTGAAATTTGATTTTGAAGAATTTCATCCTTAGAAAGTGAACTATGAGTTAAAGTTGGATTTTCAGATGTAGAGCTAAAATCAAGTTTTTTTACAATACATTATTACAGTTGTAACTAGGAGCCTTACAAACAAAGACGAATCCTTGTCAGCATGAACCATAACATATTGTTTATGTAGTCTTTCTAAATTTTTTTAATACTTTCGACTTGCTGATAAAGGAAAGATAGATGGTTCGCATATGACCTTTTAACTTTATAACACGATTCTTTAATATATATTTCTAAAACACTTAATCCTTTCGGACAAAGTGTTTAAATCTTTCCCCTCATATTTCGCTCATCGGCTGGCAGAATTTATGTTAGAAATAAAGTTCTGTCGCCAATTGAAAGATTGTAAGGTATGTTTATGACTGAAAAGTTTAGAAGCAACAAATGGGTTGCATCTGTATGAAATGTAGGTTGTAGCATTTAACATGATATATAGTGGAATGCAAGACTGCGCGTGAACTTATTTTATGTTTAAGAAAGTTACTGATGTTTACAGTATCTATTCCTTTGGAGACATCTCTAAGTTTAGCAACCGATCACGACTTACTTAAAGGTGTTTGGTTCGAAATGGTAAATTTTGTCTAAGTCAGAGATCGCGATTCGTTTTTTTTTTATTCATTACGGGTACGAAGAGTTTAGGGCCTTCGACAATGTGCCAAGAACTGTTAATAATCAGGGTTCTTACCATTTAATGGTAATCGGAAGTTAGGGCTTTTGTTTCCCATGTATGAGATGAACTTAGTCTAGTTTGAGAGTGTTGTTGGCAGAATCTATCGGTTTGTTCACTGCAGCTCTGTGGAGTAGTGGTTTTGCCATCGGAAATGAAGGTGGATTAAGTCTGTACTCTAGGGTTAAAGGAGCTGGAGACACCAGTTGATTGGAGACCTATAGTCAGTAATCTAGATCCTTGATTAGGCCAGTTGTCCGGGGACATTGGTTAGGACTTTGGTTTGAGTTTAAATTTGGACAGGAGGTCAAGGGTGGTTCTTCTGATTAGATTTGCGATTTATGATCAATAAAATATTAAATTGATTAAAGGTATAGATGACGTATTTTAGCTAAAATATATTACTAAATTGAGTGTAGATATTAATTTATGTACGTTCAAATTTATATTTTCACCAATTTTTAACTCGAATAAACTCACATTTTTATTGTTAAATTGATTTTAAACTTTGTTGTAGTTGTGTTAAAATTTAATAAGCTCCGCCACGCGCATGACTCCGGGAAAAACAGCACTAAGGTCATGTTGGAAGAAGAGGTATAAATGTATATGATATAGTTATCATAACATCATTTTCTTTTTGCTTCTCTCCATATCTGCCTATCTGTTCTTCGCTTTTTTTCCCCTGAATCTGTTAAATGGTTTGTGTTCCCTGGTTCTTTTCATTGTTAGCCATTATTGTTAACTGTCTAAATATAATGTCACGTGATCAAATTAAGGCAGAGTTATTCACATCTCTGTCGTTTGTGGTGAAGGTAAATAAATCGGT